AATCTCTGCAAAGTGTCACCCGCAAAGCGATCGCTTTAAAATTGTGGTCACGGCCAACTCTGGCGAACGTGCCCAGTCTCCTGCCACGCTAGATGACGACTCCGGCTAAGTCCTGTACGGATGAGCGGGAAACTCTTACGGCGGTTCCCGATGCACACCAGCTCGGAGCACGTGGAGCGAAAGTTCGCGCTGCAGAACCCAGGGATCCTGGGTTCAAGTTCCACCCCTGCCAGTTTCGATCTGGATGAGCATCTTACCGGCGTGCGGTTGGGTATCACTACTTCGTGGTGCACGTTAAAGACCATAGGCTAGCGGTTGTACTGCACTGGCTATATTTCTCATCTACAGCTGGGAGACAAGTCGCCGTAGGAGGCAGACCAATTTCTAGTCGGTATAAACACCCACACAACCCAACTTTTTTTCTTTTTTTTTTAATTTTATTTGAAGCGTTAGTTTGCATTTCGAATCCCTCGTTCATAAAACGCTCTGTGAGTGGAACCCCCTCTCCACATCTTTAGAAAGTATGCCGTCGATTGCCTTGTTTTATTTAAAGTGGCGTTGACCACTCATTTTTTGTTAATGTTATGCCGAGCTGTTTAATAAACTAATATAATTTTGTGCCCGACTCTTTATATAAATTCATAATTTAATTGGGAATTTAAAGGAATACTACAACGAAATTTTGGCGCTAATTTTTTTATCTATATGTGTTCAAAGGAGCAGTATCACATCGGGCATACCAATATCTTGTTAAAAAAGTCTCGAAAAGGAATTTTAAAACGAATCAAACGATTAGCAAAAAGCACCTGGTGGATGTCGCTAACGCCTCGTTTGTAATGCCCGTCTAGGAACCTTTCCAGCTAGTGACGGAGGTTGTCTCGCCTCCAGCCACGACGAAAGAAGAGGGGAAGGAGGTACTCCCCTCTTCCCGAGAATCCCTTTTGTATGTCTCAGAAGTCGCTATTGTCCCCCTACAAGATTATAGAAGATTAACCCGTCATTTAAAATTTGTACAAAAGTAGCCGCTTCGGTGGCTGGAACGGCTAGGCTAGGGTGCCTACATGTTTCCGCCGCTCCGCGGAAACATGTAGGCACCCTAGACTAGGCCATCTTCTCGACGTCAGTCTCGCCGTAGCTTTGCTCGTCCCGAGACGACCTACGTCACGATTGCGTTGGATGTCACGTGGTCTCCGCTGGGCCTTCTCCGAGGGCTTGCCAGAGTGGGCCGTTTATAACGAAAAATACAGACACCCAGGCTCAAAATACAAACGTGCGATTGTCTTTTACGGGTATTGTGGATCATATTAAACCTATTTTTGAACACGACGGGAATATTTCAAATTTTGTTGAAGTATCCCTTTAATGTTTTTTTTTTTTTTTTTTTTGCTTTTTCTTACAGCAATTGAATGAAGAAAATATTAATTCATCTTGGTTCTGCACATTCTAGGGATGAAGTCAGTACAGACGGGATGTGCAGCGTGTGTGAGCTTATTTAATTTTGGATTGGTGTATAATTACACATTTATTAAATTTACCCGCTATATTTAGCGGGGAGCGTTTCCCCTATAAATGGAAAAGGAAAACTTGCATTTCCCCGCTAAATTTAGCGGGAAAATTGACTGTTACACTTCCGTTGCACACATTTGTCACGTTTGTTACATATCTTTTTCTTTTTTATAATACCCTAGCCTTAAACGCATACCGCCTAATACCCCATTCGCACGGGCAGCACAAAGGTACCTTGAACAGAGGTCCCTTTGCAATCGGCGATTCAGCCCACACCCTTGTGCCGAGAGCGCATGCCACGAGCGGAGGATCTCGGACTGATTCGCTGCCGGTCATGAAGCTAAAGGTACCTTTATGATCGTGTGAATGGTGTATGATAAGAATACGGAATAAATCAGAGTAGATTTTTAGGACATCCTTCCAAAATCGCACACACAACTTCATCTTAAAAAAAAAAAACAAAAAAAAACGATGGTGTGCGTGTGTTTCAGTGAAATCTGGTCGTCATAAAACAAAAATTAAGACTATGAGCTCGTTATTATTTGTCGTCAAAAATTAACAACAAAACATGTGCGCTAATTTGACAGCGCTGAGCTGCAGTAGTCGGCGCATAATTGTAGGCTCTTTGTCAACACATATACGCAGTGTTGGGTAAAGTTCGTAACAAAAGTACTTGAAGTAAAATACGAAATAATTGAGAGGTTATGTTCTTCAAGTAAAGTAGTTAGTACACCGGGCGCAATGTACTTGCAGTAAATTACTATAAATAGTGTACTTTCGAAGAAAAGCAAAGGTACCTTTTAACACAATATTTCATAACGCCCTTTCATTCCCCTATGCAATGATGTTGTAGTTGTTTTTAACTCGTATACATTGCTTTAGGGGAAGTCCAGGTGTGTATTTTTCTCTTCTTTAATATCTGGTAAAAATACACAAAAAGGAGACATTTTCTGCCGCCATAGACCTTTGCGTCGCTTATCACCCGAGCAAAAAATGCCGAGTCACTCTGCTGTGGACGAATGCGTAGCGTCTGATCTACCACACAACAGGGCAACAGCGCATGCTCCGAAGGAGTTCGACAGTCCAGCAGACAGAGATGGCAGCGCGCAGAAGGCGATGTTAGCAGAGGTCAACGTTACTAAAACACTCAGTTGGGAAACTCCCATAGAGACAGCTTTGAAAAAGTGGCCCCAAACTGTCTCCGAGCACCGAGCTAATGACGAACATAACGCCACCATTTCTCCCGCAGCGGCCACTCGACAAACTGCAAGTGACTTCTATTTTGGCTTTAAGAACAGATACAGCGGTAGAGGTTAGAGGGGTGCCACCCCCGTCTCCCCGGCGGACGCGCCGCGTTCACCTACCGGAGTTAAAATGCACCTAGGGCGGGACGTGCTACCTGAAAGGCCCGCTGAGGCATGGTTGTATAAAAACAATATTAATTGTGCCGCAAAACCCTGCAAACTAAAGATTTTAAAAACATAACGCGCCCCTCTTTTGGTACTAAACTCCAATAAGTTTCATACAAAAAGAGTCTTTTTCGTTTGTTTTTACGCAAAAACAGGCTTTCAAAAAGCTCAAGGTGACCACAGTACAGACAAATGATAAAGAGTGGCGCTGTTGTCGCATTTAGCTCGGTCTCGGTGGACGCCAGCGGCCCAGGTTTCGACGGCGAGTTTCCCAACTGAGTGTTTTAGTAACGTTGGCAGAGGTCTATGCAAAGCGCAAGTTCGTCTGCTTCCTTTGCAGTGGTTGTGGTGACGTCAAAACGCCGAGCTTTGATTGGCTTTGACTGGAAGGATAGTGGGTAGACCCCAAGGCAGCTTGCTTTGAGGTTTAACCCACTATCCTATACTCAAAGCCAATCAGAAGTCGTCGTCGCTCTGACGTCACTGCAACCCCTGTGCAAGAAGCAGACGACTTGGTCTCCGCTTAGCGGCGCCTGGAACTTGATTGATTAGTGTTCATTTACTGTAGAGCTCACAATTCACACCTAAACCTAGCACTGCGCAGAACACCCTGCAATACACTCCAAAGTATAAAAGTACACTATTTACATTGGGGTGCAATGATTTGTTGCATTATTTACGTACAATAATACATACACTCAAACACGAGTACGTTGTGTATTTTACAATATACACTAAAGGGTCGTAATGCACATTAGATTACCCGACCACTTTTTACATTTTTTTTACATTAAAAACTCATTTTAGCACGATAGTATACAGCCAAGGTAGGCGAGTAAAGTCTACAGAATTTCGCAATTCAAAAATGTATATAATGTCTATATTTATCATATAATGATGTTTCTACTTTTGTGCCGTGTGTGTGTGTGTGTGTGTGTTGTTCTTGATGAAGACCTATTACTCTCACTAACTGTCAGCTATTGGAGTCACCCAAGATGAACTAACGTAAGGCAAACGGAGCCCTCTTTTGTAAAATTTGGGTAAACCATTGAAAAGAGCGCGAACGAGACGAAGGACAAGAGGAGCGTAGACCGCGCTTTGTCTGTCTACGTCCCCTCTTGTCCTGCGTTTTGTTCACGCTGTTTTTAATCGTCAATATGCAAAACCAACTCGCCCAAGTCGTCACCCTACTGGGGTCAGCCAAGCCCCTGCTCTAACGGCAGGGGGCGGTCGCCAAGTGCCACGAGCAGCAAATTGAGCTCTTTTTGATACTTTTTGAATCTCGAGCATTCTAGTAGGAGATGAGTTTTATTTTCGACTCCACATGCACATTCTGCAGGTTATACTTTCGGAAATTTCCGGAAAAGTAATGTTCAACAACGGCGGCGAATATTGGATAAAGTCAGCTGACCACAGAGTAGTTGTTTTACTCTCGTTGACGAAATTTTTAACACAATCAACTTATAAGACACTTATTTGTGTCGGTCTTAGGGCCACCATTACTTCACTCAGAGAAATGACCAGGTGAGCGATGCGTCGTCTGTTCGCGTTTCTGGTGAGAGTATATAGAATATTTCCCAGTATTGCTTCAGAGTTGGCAAAGCATAATTTTGTGATACAAATTTAACAATATCAAATTTGGGGAATGTACTTTGAAATCTGTATTTGTACCTTCCTCAGGGAAAATACCGCAAAAACTTTAAGTAAAGTCTATATACATACCCAGAGAATGTACTTCAAGTAAAGTACAAATTTTCTAAACCTACTTGAAGCAGTACTTTAAGTACAATGTACTATCAGAAGTAATTAATGTAAACTATCAAAACGACAAACCATGCATGCTAGGAAACGCCGCTAGAAAAAGGACTTTATCAATTTTTACCACGGAGTATTGCAATAATAAAACGTAAGTTATATATAACATAAATAAAAAAAAAAGCGTCAAAGGGAAACAAGAGGACACTTGAAGATACAGGGCCCTCGTTTTAAATTTCCGTCTTTGTATTTTTTTTTTTTTTTTTTGCACTTTATATTTTTAGCGTTTGTTTTATCTCCAGTAAATGCGAAAGTTAGAAGGAGCCATACCTGCTCGATCTCGAATCCAACGCAGTCCGGCGTCATTGCCCCGCACACATCTTTCACTGTCATACACACATGTCTCGCAGGGAAGCCCACCTCGTTCTCATCAGGAGCCGACTGTGCGTTCCAAGCAACCACTGACGCCACAGAACCGACACACATGGATAGGGTCGCGTTACAGGAGTGTGCTCCGTCCGAAGAGCAGTTCAACGTTCAACGACATCGTCGCCGAGCTCGGAAAACTTCTGGATTTCGCGCGCGTTGATTACCTCGAACCCAACAAGGTACTAAGTTTTCCAAAGTGTTCTTCGCTGGCATTGCAAGGCGAATTCTTTTCGCGGGAAGATGGCGGTTGTTTTCCGCGGCTGCTTTTCAACAGCTCCCCGCACTGTAGCACGTTCAGCGGCGTTAGTATCCTGAGCATGACGAAGAGCCGAAGAGCTTTTTGACTGCTCGTACGAATTGCTTCCGCATCCAATGGAGAGCCACCTCCTTTGATCCGGCAGTGCTTCTGGCTGACGCTTGGGGCGCGCAGGACGCTAAAATTGTGATGACAATACTGCTTCCGCTAAACGCTAAAACCGTGTTTCGATAAAAAAAAATTAGAAGTTTATTTACGTATCTTTAAAAAAATAAAAATAAAGCTTGTAGAGTCACTCAATATTCATATATTTTGTTTACTATAAATCGAACTTCACGAGTTCACACCTTTTCAACGCTAAAGCTGGCTAAAGTGGCGTGCAAATCTGGTATAAAGATATTTTGAGTAGCTGCAACATTACTTTGATCTTTTTAAGCTAAAAACAGAGTACATTACCGACAAATGTAGCAAAAGAACGTTGCAAGAGCGCTAGAAAACGAAAGAAAAGAAACCAAACCGACGAAACGAACGAATCAAACATGTCCGCCCTCAGAATACGGGACCCCTAGTTGTCCTACCTCTACCAATCACATACCGCTTGTAAACAAAACACGTGGTTGAGTCGCTGTGGAAGTGAATGGTTGTGATGCCGGTGACGTGTAGTTTGCCTGTGTTTTTTCGAACGTAGCACGTCTACAATGTGTGCTGCCTTTTAGTGCGGTCGCTTCCGTCGTGCGCGTCGCGTTTAGATCTAGTCAAGCAAAAGCAACTAAGATGAAGCTTCAAGAGATTGTCAGGTTACTACTCGCTGGAACCATCGTCGGCATTTGCAGCTCACAGAATGACTCCGAACAAGACGAGACGCCGGCTCAAGTTCTACACTGTATCCTTTTACCACCCCCAAAAGAAAAGAAAAAAAGAAAAAAACGTACACATTGGGTATGTTTGTGTTTAACATATTCATCCCCGATTAATTGTTTCGTTTAAAACAAAAGGACCGCCTCTACTGTCCCAGCTTTGCGTGTTGGTGATGTGACTTTTAAATTGTGATACGGACGCCCTAAAAAATCATTTCCTTTATCGCGTTTCTCAGACCGAAAGCTTTTCAAGCTTCGTCGGCAAGAGAGGCTGGAAGCCGTGAAGAGCATACTAAAGCTGGACAACATGGAAAAACAAGCCAAGCTCGTCAACATCGTTTTAGGAAAAATCGCAGAGGTATAGAGCCTGCCTTTGCATGATCTTTCTTGGGGATGCGCTGTGTGCCACATATCAATACCTGATAGGTTATTTCGACGCCAGTTCCGCTGTGAAACAATTCTCGTTAGCTGGTTTCGAAATCCCTCAAGATCGGAAGCAGTCAGCATCTCAGATTACTCGTCTGAATGTCTAATTAAGTGAACATGCGTGACAAATATATCGTGTGTGCTCTTGAAACTCCACGTTACTTTCTTTTAGATCTTTCAAAAACAGGTACTTTGTTAGGGAGTGTAATGCCTAAAAAGAAGGGCAGAGAACAGGCCAGAGCAAGCATGTATATATGTAGCTTTCTACATTTCTCATTGAGTCAACACTTGCCAGAGGTCTTTCATTGTTCCGTTCAGAACAGTAAGGTTATCTTAGTTTATAATCGGGGACTGGTCAAAGATGAACCAAGCGTGTGCGGCGGTTATGAGCTCTACGCATCTCCGCAGGTGCTCACGGCATCCAAAGTGAAGCTGGAGAACTCTGACTACATTCCGGGGGGCAACTTCCCCCACGACGACGAGACTAGGGATGGTAAGCAGCAAGAATCCGTCCCTCCAATGGCAGTGAAGTGACCATGTCTTGTGCCCTGAGGCCGGTCAACATATTTGCATTTGAATGCGATTGACTGCTTTGGAACTTCTTGTGACTGCTTACGACAAGAGTATGTACGCACTTGTGCTGTCTGTTGGGCAGCCCTGGAACCCTTGCGATCTGCATATATTTTACGCGTCATCATTTTACCGTGTGTTTAAAATATAATTCTGACGACGTTACAAGCTAGCCTAGCTTGTAACGTCGTCAGAATTATATTTCAAACACACGGTAAAATGATGACGCGTGATGTCCTTCGTGATGTGACGTGATGACCTTCTCACGGCAGTGCATAAGTTCTATCTCGCTAATAGTCAAGTTACACGCAGATCGGAAGGATCCCATGGCTACTTGGCAGACGGCGCTGTGCAACGCATTCGGATAGAGTTTTCGTATAGGCTCCCTACGGGAGCCAGAGTGGCACATTCATCCCCGTAATGCCGGCTTTCTTGCACGGCCCAGGATTCTGCTTGTCATGTGACTGAATTCGACGAAGAGCGGCGCCTCGCTCCTTCTCCTCCTTTTCTGGAAAACAGGAAAGGAGGAGGAGGCAAAAGCAAGAGAACAAACGCCGGGGCACTTGCAACGTCAGCGAAGCGGCCGTATCGGTGGCCTTCCTGCACGGCAGTTAGATTTTGCTCCTCCCGTGATCTGATCTCGGGGAATAGCGGCGCGGCGGCACGTAGAAAACAGACGTGCAACTCTGGCTTTCATAGGGAGCCTATACAGGAACTCTACACTCGGCCTTACTCAAACGCAGTATGCGAAGCAGCCTTTACTCTTCATAACGAAGCCACTCAAGTTAATGAAAAATGAAATGGTACCCAGATGCAACGAGGCGACGGCATTTTTCTCCACTCATGAAAACGACGCCGTCTCGTGACATCCGTTTGTTCTTGCACGACCACCAACATGAACAACAACAACATGAACATGAACGAAGGAAAATGCCATCGTCTCATTGCGTTTGGGTACCATTTCGTTTCTCGTTACTGTGAAATACCGGGCAAGCGCCCACTTAAAATCGTAAAAAAAATGCGGGATGGGCGCTTGTCCAGTCATCAGCTTCACATATCAATGTATTGTGCATATTTTCTCAGATCTTACAGATTTGAGAATGGGCGGATGCGCGGTATTCTACGGTAATTTGCTTCACCAAATGTTTCTTCTATTTCGCTTGTGAAACGCTACCGTAAAGGCTCTTTGTACTGTCGAATGCCCACGTAGGCGGCTTCAATTTAAGAAAAGCGGTGGGACCAACACCGGCCTGTTTGAGCCAAATGCAACGAAGTGCCTTGGTCACGGACTGGACGAGAACGGCAGGGTGGAGTTTCAGTTGTCTCATCTCCAAAAGCATGCACGACAAAAGGCAACGAGCACGTGCTGGAGGCTGGGCGCTCAAAAGAAACACCCTACAATTTTCTTGTACCGCTGTGGCTATAGGGAGTATCCACTGGCAGTCGTGGCTGTGTGCCAAGGCTGCCGACGGCGAGCTTCTGCAGTTTTTTTGCAACGTACCATCTGCATCATCAAGATTGCCGGTCTTAGCAGGCTATGCGGAGCGCAAGTTCGTCTGCCTCTTTTGCAGGGGTCGTGGTGACACCAGAACGTCGAGCTCTGATTGGCTCTAATTGAAAGGTAGTGGGTGGACCTCAAAGCAATCTGCCTTGAGGTCTACCTACTATCTTTCTAATCAGAGCTCTAAACTTCTTTCGCAGGGATTGCGTTGACATTTTGACGTCAACACAATCCCTGCGGAAGAAGTAGACAAACTTGAGCTGGCTCTGACCGTGCACTCTTAAACATCGCCCTCAAATATGGCATCCAGTGGATACCCTCTATAGTTATCATTGCTGGGAACACACCACCTACCCGGAGAAAACTAGCCGGCGCTTGCCTCGGTTTGCAGCCCTCTCCCAGGTCCTCGAGAACACGGCGTTTTTCGGGGAGATTGTGCTGCGTCTGCCGGACATCTCTCACGCTGTGCTGGGGGAGAACAAGGTTAGCGCCCTGATGGTCCACTGGGCGGTCGGGTTCGCCAACTCGACGGGTTTTTACGACGACACGACGACCGAGCTCATTGGCCTGGTGAGTTTTGCCAGTACATTTCCTCGGGGGGAAGGTTGCCGCACCCGCCCATCGTTGGCGAGTCAGTGTGTCCATAAAAACGTCGCCGGGAGAGGATCGTCGCTGCTGGATAGTGAATGTGTGGCGGCCGACATTATGCGAAGTGGAAGTTTGTCTGCTTTTTGCGCGGGAATCGCGACAGCGTCGGAGTGCCAAGCTCTTTTTGGCCGATAGAAAAAGAAATAGTGGGTAGACCTCGAGGCATCTAGCATTGAGGTCTACCCACTATCCTTTCGATCAAAGCCAATCGGAGCTCGGTGTCATTCCGACATCGCCCTGCGATGGCGCTTCTTGCGTTCAAGAAGCAGACGACTTGCTGTCTGCATACTTCATTCACGCCTAAGCTGGCAGTGCAGTGGGAGCTACGTGCTCGCGTTGCTCATTAACCGCCTCCCTTTCGTTACCTGACCCTGCTCTCTGTGCGCGAGTAGGGCCGGGAGTGTGATTGCGTTGCAAAAGATGGGACTATGACAGGTCCAATGAGCGTGCAGCTTCCACTGCACCTTCAGTTCGGGAATGAACGGTGTATGGGGGTGTCCGGGAAACACGGTGCAAGTTTCACGGACTGTGGAGGGGAGCCGGGAAGGGCAGCCGACTCTGTTAGCGCGTTGCTGCTCGGAGCCCTTGGGGCAAAACCTTGCTCTGCAGCACCAAGGATCTTGGGTTCAGTGAATGGCTCTGGCTTTGTAGGTATTGTACCGGCATGTGGCCATGTAACAATTACCGCAAGAGGCACATTAAGGACCTTGGGTTGGCAGTCAAGCCACGTGGGCAAAACTTCTTTGCAGGCGAGATGCCATTCTAACTTAGACCCAACTTTTCTTGCCGTCGGAACTTCCTCGCAACAAATTTTGCTCAACTATAGTTGTTGAATGCTTCCCCAAGGTTCCAAGGCTCATTTCCCAGAGTTTTCTGCCTTTTGAGACATGGTATTATTTTGCCATTATCCTTTCAACTATACTACAAGGTGTTCCCAGCCCAGAAGCACAAACACCACAGGATCTTTTCTTAGCCCCACCTGCAGGTGCTCACGGCGAACGTTTGGGTAATTCGTGCTAACCGTGCTTTTTTCGAAATCGCGAGAACAATGTTTGAGCGTTTGTCTTGGCCGTAGGCCAGACACCCTGCAAACGTTCTAACCCGACTAGCTCCAATTTGAATATGAACGGTCCCTCGGGACATCGCAGTAGGTAAGAGCACGGTGTAGACAAGGGTGCGGGGTGCCACCAAAATGACTGCCGTGCCCTTTCACCGCAGTTCCCAGTACCAGACCCTACTTTAGTTGGTTTCATTGCTTCCTCCCGATTTTATGACCTTATGGTTATACAGAAAAATTGTATAGGATAAGACTGAGAATGGCAAGACGCGTCTTTTGAACGCCTGGGCTCCAGCACACGCTCCATGACTTCTGCCGCTGTGCACGTGCTCGAGGTACATCCAAGGTGTTCTGCCGTTCTCACCTTATTGGTGACAATGGTGGTACCTTTTGTAATGGGCAGCAGCTTGTGCTACCTAGCCTGAAGGTACAGGGTATCCCGAAGAAAAATTTACGGGGTATTTTTCGCCGCAGAAGTGAACTATACATTGCTCAAGGCTAATTCTCCACCCAAATGTAGTGCTAGCTGTCCGAATCAGATGCCAAAGTAGAGGTCTGCACGGGCCGATAATTCATTTCTGACGGCCGGCTCGGCCCAGCCCGACGCTAATTTTCTTGGGCTTGTCGAGGCCCACTCTATTTTTGCGCGGTATGAATGGCTTGCACTTTGCGTGGCAAGGCAGCTCGCTTGTCACTGCCCCATGTTGGCTACGGTACCCGATGCTAGTAAGCATCTTTTTTTCTTTGCTGCTATTATCAGTTGGACTAATCTGTGGGCCATCGGCAGCTGGTTAAAAAAATCACCTCCATCGTCATTTTTTGCAACCAAATCCGCTTATCAAAGAGGAAATACAGAGAAATTTAAAAAATTTGTGCGATGATCACACGACATGATGCGTTTAGACAGCGTCATCTGTGCCGCTGATTCGGCGATATGACAATAACAATCTATTGACATTGCGCCATACGGAGATCTGATATTGAAATAATGTTGCGTTGATTTAGCGTCTACACATTGTCGATGAATAAATGATATTAAGGTTGTGATGTTTTTCCCACCAAATTTAGCGGGGAAACTGAATTGGTGCATGGGTCACGTGACATCAATTTTACCGCTAAATTTAGTGGGGAACTTGAATTTGTCTGTAGGTTCCTTGACGTCAGGTCACATGACATTAGTTATCCCGCCATTCATTCAAAAGCTTTGCGATTTTTTTTAAATTTCACTAAAAAAATTGGGCTTGTTTGTGTCCGTTTTTGGTAACTCATGCCATTCAGCTCCATGTATTCAAGAGTTCCATCGGTCGCCATCAAACACATTTTAGAGAACAGGCACGTTTTATTGAAGCTCAGTTGAGAGAAAGCGGAGCCTCAGTTTAGAGAAATGCCATTTACCAAAAAGGGGATGCTGTTTAAAAAAAGGCTCCCCTACTTCGTGCATGTATCACTAGGGCTCGTTAACCCCCCTGGCCCCCCTCCCCCTGTTCACGCTATACTCTGTCCACCCTTGAGCTGAGGCTGCAGTCAAAGCTACAAGCACGAGCTAGCCCACGCTCCTAGCTTAGAGAGGTGCATTTCTAGATCAAGTGCTCGTTCTGTGGAAGAACGCTTCACGACCTCAAGCTCTCGTGCCTGTGGCATTGGCTGTAGTCTCAGCTTAAGGGTGAACACAGTATAGTTCATGGCGAGTCTGCGGCGGCTCATTGCAAAAATGTTAACCCACCTGGCCCACCCGTACACACTACTCCACCGAATTCGATTAAAGGGGGCTCATCGCCATTTTCTCTTAACTTGGTTTCTCTGTAGAAGGATTCTTGAAACAGGGGTCTCTAAACCGGCGTTAGCTAAAACGAGCTTCAGTAAAATGGATGCCTTCATTATTTACACAACCCCCTTGTCACCGACACATCATTCCCTATGTGGACCTAACGCTGTGTTGTCTGTCTCAGGTTGCTCAAGAGTTGGGGCTGGTTGACAAGGACCCCAGTTACCACAACCCGTACGCTGCCAAACACGCAAAGGTACGCTTTATTTGCTGTAGAGGACAACGAAGAAAAGTGGTTGGTTTGGTTTTTGATTTAGTGTCAAGACAAAATGCATGTACAGACAGACTGCTAGGTTGACAAGAATGCAATGTCGTCGTGCAGCCATGGAAGTCATGCCAGTGTAGCTCATCTTTTGAGTTTGCGACGATCAGTGTCTCGATAAGCATTCCGGTAGTGGCTCACGTCCCATCACTACAATGACGGGAACAGCAGAACCCTGGGAACGTCAGGAACCCAGTACATGCCCTGCGCTTTGCCGACCCTAGCGCATGGATATGATGAACATTGGAAGCAATTAATCGACTCCAGATCACGTGGCCGCTTGTTCTGGCTGCAGTTTGAGTGGGTGAACAGCACTGCTCGTTTTTCTCCAATTGTTCCTGCAATTGTCGTCCTACGAAAATATGTGCTAATGTGTTTCGTTGGCTACGAACATCAAGGGTTAATTCAAGGAAATATTAACCGAAAGTACAAAAATCATTGCATTACCTCTTTGAATGCTTTTTTTGGGGGGTTCCGGTAATACTGTTGCCTGCATTATGAAGTCCATTTACCTATGAAAGACACATTGCGTTGAAACAGTGGGGGAAAAGCTGAAGCAGAAGTCGCCTAAACAAAATTTCCTACATGCTGTCAACAGGTGGTACCAGCCTAGTTACGAGCGGCAGGGAAAACTTATTAGAAATTGTGCAACAAGTACCTTCAGGCGTAGAGCTCAAAACGTTAATTTAAAATTTCATTGCTGTGTTTGTCGCTAAAAAGTGACTCCGCAAAGACAGACATTTTGAGCAGAGGCTGCAACCCACAGGTGACGCAACCCGCGGCAGCGGAAGAAGCTCGGAAGCCCAAAAAGCCGAAAAAGAAAATCCAGCGAGGTCCAAGACTGAGCAGGAAAGAGCTGTGATCACCAATCAATCACCTTTTTTTTTAACGACCGAGGTGACTCGCCATTTGCACCGGTACGCACTGCACCCTACATGTCATTCCATGTTTGCCGTAGAGAGCAAATCTTCACTTCTGTGTTTACACATTTCCAAAGTCACGCCACGCTCTCCAAGCGTCAATGGCGTCGCCCATCACCAATCTGAAGTTTGTTGCCCAACTGTTTGTGATAAAAAGTGTTGTTCTAGTGGTTGCATTGGTAGGTGGTGCTCCATAGACCAGATGACAAAATTCTGGCGTTCTCTTTTGTGCGCCTGAAACGCTTGGGGGTTTGGGTGTTACACGATCAGACAAGGCAGGGCTCCTGTCTGTGTCCATGTTGTCACCCTAATCTGTGTACCATATAACCAACCCACTTACCCCGACTTCAACGCTTGGATTTCAACAGGTTTGTTTGGTCAGTCTGTTCCTAGTTTTCCGCTCTGCCAAAAACTGAGGACGAACATTCTCGGAACAAAATTTTGTCCTGGTCGGTTCGAACTGTAAACACGGAACGCTATAGATTTGACTGTGGCTTGCACAAGTTGAGACAATCGAAGGGTGTCGACGAATTATTGGCAAAACGTTTCTCTGGGTTACCACAGCAACATATCTTCAGCAAGTGTTGCTGGGACACAAGGCTGCAAAAATAGCATCAAACTCAAGTCTGGCCCCATTTTTTTTTTAGTGCAGTTTGAAGCAAACTTTTTTTTTTAACAAAAGCTGTTTTTAAATTTGAAAAAGCTGTTAAAAATCTGGATGCAAATACCTTAACGATATTGTCTGCAAAGTTTTGTTTTTTCTGGGTAGTGGGAGCTATGTAACCGCATATTAAAATTTTGCTGTAGCCTTGCCCCCAGCTGCACGCCAAGTGCAAGAGAGGAAAGAGAAAAATTAGCGCAAGTGACAAAGTCGGATGATTTTATCCCACGACACCTTAGATAACAGGCAGCAGAGAAGCTGGCCCCATGCAGCGATTGCTGTAACTCTTTCTAATACACAAGTGGTTTAGACTAAACTGCCCAACATCACAGCACCAACTGACTTCAGGAGTCAGAAAGCTACAGACCTTTTCATCTCTGTAGTTGCCCACTCGCCGCCATTAGGTTGCTTCAATTTGGTTGGCTTCGGTTTCAATGCAAGCACGGCTGTGTTGCTGATTTTTACGGCGGAGCTGTTAAGGGCAAGTTTCCCCAGGATTGTGTGCGGTACCAAACAAATGTCAACACCCGCGGCCGATACAACACTGGTTGCCGCCGTCGCTCCTTGATGGCGGTAGCTGTCCTGAGTGTTCATTGTTGTTTCTGCTTAATTTTGGAATACAGATGAGCCTCTTGAACACAAAACTAATTAAATAGTGGTACTGAGCCACTCTGAGAACCACGAAGTGATTTCGAACCGAAATTGGGGGCTCTTTGGCAAACAGATTTGATGCTTCCAATATCACCTAAAGAAGCGCTAAAAATTGCGGCAGCTTAGCTCGGCTATACGTAGCGTGAGCTTATGCGCACAAAATGAGAGGCGCTATTAAGCGGCTCCGGTGCAGCGTCAGACTTGGCTACTGTGCAATGGAGGCGCACAGCTGGGCACACGGTGGCACCAGTATGTCTGCCGCAGCCACGACGTCACTCCTTTGGAATGTGCAGACAGGCAAGGCGGGCGCGGCGGCGTCGTCTCTGGCGTGCCAGCTGTGTGTTGTGCGACGTCACTGGTCCTCGCACTTGCGCAGCACGGCTCTTTGGGAGCCAGGCGAAACTGCTCAACCTCGGCCAGTGTAGCTCACGCTACAAAAACACAAGGACGAGGAAGTAGACAGACAAGACCGCTTTTGTCTGTGTACTTTCTCGTCCTTGTATGTTTTGCGCTTCTTTAGGTGCTCATGAACCAACTGACCCAAATTGCTACCTTAATGCAGTTTAATTTCCAACTATGTTCATAATTAATTTTGCCCATGTTCGGTGGTAAAACGCCCGAGCTGATGAGGTTATTACCATCATCTGCTACTGTATCCACTCACAGAAGTTTCCAAAAAAAAAAAAATAAACTAATGAATAGACAAATACACAAATTCATGGTGAAGCAGTTTGGCAGCCTAATTATCAGTGTGCTGAATCAAAAAGAACATGTGAACTTGCAAGTTATGTTTGGTTTTCGTGGGCACCACCATTTTAACTTTTTAGACTAGGCCGAGTAGAACATTTTTGAATTTTCAACCCTTCTAAAGTACTTAACGTTTCACAATAAGTATTTACACTTAGTCACTATATCTACACGGGTTGAAGCAACCCAATGGCAGTCGTGTCACGCGGTTTCAAGATGGCAGCGTCCATGCGACTGAGTGTGAAAAGGTCTATAGTAGGCCACTCCCATTTATTTTTTTATGCTTCAGCAGCTTAACTAACACACCCAGCATCTCGCAGCTCAACCTTCAAGGACATACTTCGGCTTTGGGAGCATATGTGTAGGTGTAAAGCCCCTCTATACATAAAAGAAAGAAGATTCATTGTTCAAAATATTCTTCCTCACCAGTGCCTTTGCTAAAAAAATGGCTTCGTACAGCCCAGGAGATAAGGGCCAGGAGGGGAGGATTCTCACCATTTTTTTTCATTTTACAACCAGGAAGGTGTTTTGGCAGACAGAAAGACGACGGCACTCCACTTCTTTTTGTTTTTCAATGCTGACGTGATTCTTTATTTACAACATGCATTGTTAGATCACTAAAAACGACGTCGCACCACACACCGCCGTCTCCTTTCCTGCGAGGCCGCGTCGACGACCCTTCTTTTCCGTTGTCGCGCCATGTGTCCAGACGGGGTGCACCACAAGCGTCGCCGATCGCGCGTCGTGGTTGACAGAGCGGACGAACCGACGCCGCTGGGCCAGCCAGCAACGTGCGCCGTCGGAAAAGAGAAAACAGGCCGGCTTTCCCGAACCATTTCGCACGGGCATCCCTGTCCGTTTGCGACTTAGCCGTCGCGCCCTCGGCGCGGCATCTCGCGCACTTCGTCGCCCGGCTGAGAGCTTCCGGCACGAGAGAAAGATGGAGGCAGTAGAACGACATTAAAAGGCGTTAAAAACCTGGCGAGCATAAAGCGTTTCAGACCGCCACTCGAAGAAAATGGGACCCCATCTGGTTAATCGCAACTCGTTTTAAAAAGAAAAAAAAAAAAAAAAAAGAAAAGGCTCGAACTTTGCCAAAGTACCTAATGAAAACCTAAAAAAATAAAGGACACTCATTGACAGGAAAAACTGAAAGTGCCACACTTAAAAACGCCACATAATTCGTTTGGTTCTTTGAGCGAGATGCAGCCAACCTGCCTGTTTGCGTTTTTTTTATTTTTTTCCTTTTATTATGTTCTTAAACTCCAACATGTTAGTAGTAACGAAAGCTAATGGCAACGTCACTTTCCACGATGCGGAAAATAATGGCAGTAATAACAACAGCATTAATAATTAACAAAATAACAAAAACACCAGGAACCGTATTTCGTAAACGAAGCTTTCTGTCGAGTAAAATCCGTGGTCGGGCAACTGTGTGATGCACACGAGGCCGCATCCCATTGTTGCGAGCTAATGTTGCGTAATGACCTCGTGCACGCTCTGCCTTCGACAGTGTTAACAGAAGCGTGCGGGTCGGCAGTGGCATGGCTCAGGCTGGAGCACAAACGTCCTAAGTATCCTACAATCTCTACACACGTTCTTCACCCCCACGCACTCAACGAACGATCAATCTTGTCTCTTCCTGCAATCTTCACGCTTTCCGGCATACAAAAAGAAAACCTATCTCCGAAGCAATCGCAATTGGAATGGTGGCACATCTAAAACAGTTTATATATATAAGAAAAAAAAAAAATGAACCTACACTGTTTATGCCTTCTGCTCACATTAAACCACCATGAGATATTGTACACTGCAGTGTGACCCCCTCGCCAACGTTTCGCCTGTCCGCATGCGGCGACGTCGGCAGCGGCTCTTACGAACCCCCTTTTCGAAACCAGAGATGCCTTTCTGATGGGGCGTCGAGAAAATGACGGACATTGAAGGTCGCGCGGCAGCATGAGGTTACCAAGTGTGCACAAGCCTCCACAGAATCTATAGGAACCCCCTCGGAGACCTAAGGGCCCGAGGAAACTCTTGTGGGAAAATCCCCAAAGATTTGGAGTTTCCCCTCAATCTTTAAGGATTTCTCAGCAGGAGTTCCTCGGGATTTTAGGGTACAAGGGAGATCTTTGGGAATGAAGCTCCCTAACGTTTTTAAGATGCTAGGGAACACCTTGGGGATGCTCCCACAGGAGTTCCCTAGGATTTGCAAGGAAGCCTCGGAAATCTCAAAAGAATCACAGGTGGGGGAGCGGAGAGAGAGGAAGAGAGGACATCGGGGAGGCAACAGAAGCAATGCCAGCACGTCGCGAAAGACTCGCGCAAGAAGCAAGCGAGAGGTGGGAGAGTTTGACCTGGACACGTCCGCGCACGCCGTTTCACGTCAAAGAGTCTGTACAACGGGACGGCGCCGCGGAAGAGGAGACAACCGGTCTGTGGTGGAGACCGCGGGGATCGCGGTGGCGGCCTGTCAAGACGAGGAGACCGTCACTGCGGTCGTGCTGGTGGGAGCCGCGGCGGATGGCGCCGTGCCGCCACTCCCAGAGACGACCACCGAGCTGACGACGGTCCCCGCCGCGTTGTTCCCGACGGGGGCTCCCACCGCGTTGTTGGGGCTGGCGTCTTCGTGATAGGAGTTGCCGTTCATGACGTACGACGTGCCAAGCCCGTACAGGTGGCCGCAGTACTTGGCGTCGTCTATGTTGTCCTCGAAGAACATCTGCAACCGCCGCGCGGCCACGGGTTAGCGGACACTGCTTGGCGACCTGAGCGGCGCGCCACATGCTATAGACTGCTCCCAAAAATAAAAGCACCCCATCGCGGCGAAATGCCACGCAGTAGTGCACTCTGGAAACTAGTTGGCCAATCGGTTTCGATTGAGCAGCCTCAGTACAGGCTATCACACCGTGACTGAATGCGCTGCTTGCATTTTTGATTATTCAACTTCTTACGAATGTACAATACTCTCTCTCGAACGATATAGAAGGAAGACTGGACCCTTTTCTTGGTGCATGCATGCTTATGCAAACGAATTAAGACGTGGCTTAGTCACCTCACCCCACGATTGTATCTTTGAGCTCAACTGCAATAATCCTGTCTATAGTCGGATGCAACCTGAGAACAATCTTTTAGCTCCACCCACAAGCGCATTGCGCCCATCTGAAGTGCCTCCGCCGTCCAGAAAGTAGTTCGCTAGCAAGGTTGCTTTTTCTTCCTCCAGGAAACGTGTCTTAAACTACTACAATATTTATTTAATTCATTCAGGACATTTAAATAAGTTAATATGTTTTTGTCAACGAAATAGCTGTTTAGTAAAGAAAGAAAGTCATGTCCAATGTACCGTCTTCCCAATCCATTTTCTGTCCAAGATACTCTCTAACATACCGTCTTCCAGCGCCTTCGATTGAGGGAAAGCGAAGGCAATCTCAGCTCACCCCGCGGAAACCACAGCAAATTGAAGCAGCGGTGCCGGTACTATGTTGAGTAGCAACGTGGGGCAGAAGCGACAGAAATCCAACGAAGCAGACGACGTCCGGCGTAGCTTCTCACCTATCAGCAGTGCTAAACCTCGCGCCCACTTCGAAATTTTCGTTGGCGATAGCGTCGCTGGATTCTCACGTTGTCGCGCAAAAACTGCTGCAAACGCAAACCGATACCATTAAGATTTCGTGGCGTAACCTCGGGCACGTAAAACACGGTGCAAAAAAGCAGAATAATTGTCCCGAGAAACTAGCGTCGCGTTGCCTAAGGCCAGCAGCCATGTTGAGCTTTTTTTTTCTCAAAAGGATTGCGATTGGTCCACGGAATCGTGACGTCATGAAAACGATTGGCTGGCGTTTCTCGGCGTAGGATTACATTTCCCTCTGAGAGGCATTTCCGGTTTTTTCTTAGCTTGCAACCGACTATAGTACCGGTGAACCACAATTGAAATTTGCTCATTTTGAGCCCTACACATGGTTACTTCATGGGCGAAAACAAAAGCCGCATCCTCATAGGAGTCTCAAAGTTGAGCTCAACTTTGGCACATCTTTTAAGGAAACGCAATAAATGCGACCCGACTACCACAAAAGTTACTATGAAGTCTTCCTCATGTCATCATATATCTTCCACTCATATGTCGAGCTGATTGGATGGAGATTATGTTTTCGCAAACGCTGAGATAGGCTAGCTATGACGGAGGCCCTAACAAGCATCTCCTACCCCTCGCAAAGCCTTTTTGGATAAAGTTTTACCGACGCCCAAGAGCTGTGTCTGAATGGCATGTCTGAAATTATCTCGGCATACTCAGTCAGGAAGAAAGCAAACGCCTAACAGATCTTATGGCCATTAGCAACCATCAAATGCGCTTTGAATCCTGTAGTTTGGTGCACCGCATAGAGGTTCACGCCCATATACGTGCTGTCCGGCAAACGTTGTGAGATTCTTCACGCAAGTGTTTGACTGTTGATTTCTTAAAAACGGTTTGTGTACATGAATGTGCCTATACGATTGCAGGATAACTTCATGCACATATGTGATACCAAAATAGGTGGAATGCAAGCGGGTGGGGACTTCATGCACTGCTGCAGAGAAGTGTGTTCGATTTTAGCCTTTCAATAGTATCTCCCAAGTTTTACTTCACGTACCAAAGGTATTAAGGAAACAGTACTTGCAAAAAGGTATATTTCGTCAATGCACGCACAAACAAGTAACAAACCTGCTGACCAGCAACACTACCCACCCCCAAAAGATAGCCCACCCCTATATTTTTAGTTTGATTTGCCATATTTTTTTTTAAACACCAAAAGATAGCCCACTCCTAGCAATAGTAGTGTTGGGATCAATGATGGCCTCGGCATAAATGTGGCTAGTTCGCTACAGCACAATATAAGCGATTGTTGCTGACTGGGAAGTACAGTCTTTTGTTTCATTGCCCCTCGCCATCATAACAAGCTTGGAAAAGACAGAACCTAAATATAGCAATTTCTCAAAACTTTTCTTGATTGTACCTTGAAAGTTAGCCCACTCCATATTTTCACCCGATTTGCTCTTGATGCTAGGTTTGCTCTCTCTCTGGATTTCACGGTAATGTAAACGTACGAGTTCAGTGTATGCATACTTATTGGTTGTTACAGCGTGTTGACCTGTACACAAGCAAAATCCCCGAGCTCTGCAGCGTCGAGATTCCCAGCGCTGTCAAGACAAGTTTTGTGTGTGGTTCGGGCTTGTGTTAAAGCTTCAAGGTTTCTAAACTAACCATTTAGGTTAGTTTAGAGACCAAACACAATGCGCTAAATACCAGGAAACATGAGATAACTGTCTTTAATAGTCCACGGTCTGTGCATGATCTCTCGTCAACGTGTTGATCGAAGCCATGCCACTTTCCTCCCTGGCCAACTAGTTCCCAAAGTGTGAAGCATGCAGTGTTGCATGCGGGGATTTATGTAAGTAGTTTATGGGCAAATTGTCGAGCATGTGCGAGGGGAGATGAATGTTATGTTTGGACACAAGTTCCGAATGCAACAGAGGCTCTCCCCATGACCTCGTCCTCGCCAGCCACTGTTCTTTTGCGATGCACAAACGGTTCACTACCGAGCTTATTGGCGATGCACGTGACCAAAAGCGTCGCTGCAGTCGGCTTTCCACGATCGTGACGCCTTCGACATGACTTATTCTGCTTCCCTCGACGGAAAGAAGAGTAATGTCCTGTCCGAATGTCAGCGTTGACGATGTTGGCTTAAAAATGCAACGACTCCAAGCTTCCCCTGCATTTTTTTACACGCATTATCTATTTCGTTTCTGACCGACAAGTAGCAAGTATCACAAACTCGTGGCACCTCGGCGAGGCAAATCCGGGTAGGAATGTCACATAGAAGAAACACAAGAGTGCGCCACCGAAGCATTTCGGCATTGATTCCGTCTTGATTGCGGGCATAGTCATACTGAAAATGTTGCATTATCCTAACACGACTCAACGTGGCTACAGGCTTTTACAGTTGATCCCAAGCAGATTTGATGCAGTGGCTGATACGAAATGGTCGTTTGGCATATTCTTGACTTCCATCCAACTGTAGCTTCACTAGTGACGTAAGGGATGAACTCACTTCTCTCATCTTGAAGAAGGCGGCCCCCGTAAGCAAGCTGTCGCTGCCTGCTTGGTGCTGTGGCCCAATCCGCTCTAGCTGCAATGCAACCAGCATTTCCTCGTTAGATCGAGAACAAACCGACTTTCACAATTTAATTTCTCAGCTGTGACACATAGCAAATCTGTCACACAAGGGACTGACCCACACTATCTAAACAGATAATTCCTTGCCAGTCAAAGATGTAAGAAGTGTTACTGGCCTTGGAGGCTTTGTGCAAGAAGACCAGACATAGAGTACAAACACTTCATGACCTTGTTATCTTCTCAGAGGTCCGGAAGCATGAAAACCTCGTGCCTTCAGTTACTTCACCCGTGACACTAAGTCATGATCACACAGACCACACTGCCAGGTAACAAATTAAGCCTTCAATTATCCTTCGGCGCTGCACGGCTCTCTTATAGAAGGGAGCAAGCAGTGCTAGTGTGGCAGGCCACGCTTTCTCTCCTTTCTTGAGAGAAGAGAATGGGCAGTCAACCATGGCGGCACTGTGCGCACCTGTCTGTAGAAGACAAACTCAACGTTAATCAGCAGTCTTGGCACAAATTTAGTCATGTCTCTTGGTCATGTGTGCCGATGCCATTATGTCTCGTTGTGGGGAGGATGATGTCCCTCATCTAATGAAGTGCCCAAAGGGTCGCGCACGCCGCCACTGTGGAAACTGCATTCGCAGTTGTCAAGCAAGTTTCTTGGCTATGACAATGTTGATGCGCAGAGTGTGCTTCCTGCGAAGTGAGTCAGGCAACAAAAACACAGGTAATCTAAAACAAAGTGCAGTTTCAAGGCACTCTATTTTTTTTATTAGTAATACGCTAACCTTTTGCAGTTTCGACAAGCTTCGAATTATCGAGTCAAGATGTTTTCGTTCCGTAAAGTGTCATCTGAAACAGCTTGGGAATGTTTTTAAAATGGAAGGGAACAAGCAAAACAAACAGAAAATATTTCAGTCCGCTGGACTCAACTTTCCAAGTTCAAAACATTACATATGGGTATCAGTCCCACTGAAATTCCAAGGACGCCGAGGCTTCCCCGACAGACTGGCAAAGGAGCAACGAGGAGACGTGCGGAAGAACTGGGGACTCACCTCAAGCTGTTCAGCCACCTCCTGCAATCCCCCCTTGAGGTTTTTACAGCTCTTCATAAGGTACTTGACGTCATAGATAGCCGGGAAGTAGATTCGGAGGAGCTCGAAGAACTCCGACTCCTCCGAGGGAAGGTGCTGATCCGTCAAAAGCTTCAGCAAGTAGCCGAAGTCGTAGCCGCTGTTCGGAAGGCAACAACAGACGTGCTACGTTGGGATCCGTCGTCTGCAACGCTATGGGGCAGAAGCCGAGGGAGAGGAGAAGGCGAGAGCGTGCGGTGACGTCAGAACGCCGAGCTCCGGTCGGAGCGATTACCTGGTCGATGCAAAGTCAGCTGCATTTGCCGAACGCGGAATGCCGGCTTCCGGTGTTCGGCTTTTCCGTTTGAAAGCGTTGGACGGTTTAAACTGATCGTTCAAACCGGAGCTTGGCGTTTTGACGTTCCCGCACGCTCTCGCCTCCCTCAGTTTCTGCCCGCACAATTGCCTGCAGAGTGAGATTGGAAGGGTCTCTCCTTCGGACACTCTGTTGCGCTGAGCATTCACGCTCAAGATACACGAGATCGCCGACGCCGAACGTCTCATCCCCTGGACGTCCTATTTATAGCCAGAACAATTTTGGAGCAGGGGATCGGTCAAGGTTTCCCGTGCAGGCAGAGTTGCGGTCGTCGAATGCGACTTTCTTGCTCGTTCGGCCAGTTGTGAAGTCGCAAAGGGTCTGTCGGGTCGCTCCCTTTACGAGTGGTGCATGCGGTTTACCAAAGCAAAACGTTTCTATGGGGCATTCGAGACACCCCGTTGTGTTTCAAAATTTTATTCCCCACTTGGTGGTTCCATCGCCGGAACTACTGCAACTTTCAATTGGCAAGAGCTCGAAAGCGTACTGCCGGTTGTTCCAAAAGATTGGGCTGTGGTGCTTCCAGACCGAAATGACTAGGATGCAAGAATACTGGGCTCCTTCCCCCACCCCTCTCTTTCAATAACTGCTGAGCCAAAAAACTTATCTCTAAGGGCAGTAAACTTGCGGTTGAGATCCCAAAAGCTGCGAGCTTTTCGCCCTTCTTCAACGCCGGCAGTATTTTGTAATGACAACATTGACGCCAACAGGGTGTGTGAAATCGGCCTTACAAGATTGCCCAACTGCCCAAAACGTTAACGTCCTCCACCCATCTGTTCACCAGTCACTTCCACACAGTTGGAAAATCTCCTGATCACTGCGTGTGCCGTCTCGTACCGACGCGCACCAACGACGAATGTTGGGTGCTTGCAACTCGACGGACCTTCGTGTATCACGTAGGAAAAGATCGCAAGCCCAGCACAAAAGCTTACGATGGCAAAACGTGAACTCATGTACCGGGCAAAAGACTCGAGCAAACGCAAACAAATGTAGACAACTACAATGACGAGACAATTTTCCTCGGTTTGGCTCGCATGTGCTCAAAACGAACGCTCTACGTTCGCAAGTACAGTCTCTGTCAAAAGCTTTTAGCCCACCGCATGGACGGTTGGAGCGGGCTAGCTAAAGCGGGTGCAAAAGCACTCGGTCACGCCAGAACGCAAACGTGCGAAGCGGCTTGGAGGGGAAGAGACCGCACCTGTGAAAAGATATCCACTTGACTTGGTCCGAGAGCACCACCCCCGACGTCATGAGAAGCTGGGCAAACTCGTACGGGTCGATGCCCTCTTCGTCATGCTTCTTGAACTGGATCCCAGAGTTGGTGAGGAGATCGATGGAGTCCTGGGCATACATGTCCTCCCTGCAGACGAGCGGGGGGTGCAGAAAGAGGCTTTTACTCCCTTTAGGCCGGACGTGCCTTTTAGGCAAAGGCAGAAAACGCGTTTTTACTCCCCGCAAACCTGAACTTTCCTTTCGGCAAAGGTGCGAAACGTCGCTTTGCAAGGCCACAACGTCCAAGACTCCCTTTTGGCGCGGTGCCCTCAGCAATGTCTACGAAAGGTGCATACCCTGTCCTCAAAAGTGGTCCCTCGATTTCCACCCGACGCCTTCCCAAAAGGGAAAGGCTGCAGAGGTGGATGCAGCAGACGAAACCCACCAGACGATCGAAACCAGAGCAGACACGACAGACGCAAGAAGGGACCACCTCACTTTTTTCTCCCACCATTACTACGACCGACAACCTGGATCTTGACGTCCTACAGCACGACATCATTTTGTTGCCACTTTAAGACCACTTTCGATGCATGGGGTTGCTCATTGCACCAGTCGAAGACACATTTGAGGCACCGTACCCGGGGAGCAGGGGAGGGGGGGAAGGTGAGGAAAGACACAGTGGCGCACTCACGTGAGGCTGAACTTGAAGTTGAACTGCCAGGTGGAGTGCCCCGGCGGCGGATTGCCGGCCTCGTCCAAGAAGGTCAGGCCCAGCTGGATGATCTTGAGCAGGTCCACGTTGCAGCGCAGCAGCTGGTACTGGTAGTCCGCAGTGCTCCGGAACTCCCCGATGGGGCGCGCCACCACCCCGGGGAACTCCGTGTCCTGGGCGACAACAAAACGTGTCACGGCACCTCACCGTCTGTCGTCTTTCTATTCCTGTTGTGCGACATCGCCTGATTCGTCTCCGTGGAGCGAGAGCACCACTACTTCATTGCATAATGCTTCACCGGTGCCATATAGTTATGTTTTAAAGGTGGGGTTTTTTACTCTCTCTCTCCTCTCTCCCTCCCCTCCTCTCTCTCTCTCTCTCTCTCTCTCTCTCTCTCCCCCCCCCCCCCCCATCGTGTCTCGTTATATGGACACCCCAGTTCCCCAAAACGATTGTCCATAAAGTGATGTCCATAACAACGAGACAAACCAGATCGTCCCCAAAATTTTTTGCCTATATAGCTGGGTATCTATGTTAATGAGACATTACTATATACGATAGTCACCAACAGGATAAGAATAAGACGACGTCTCTTTCCGACATCCGGCATCCAGCGTGTGCTTGTTTTGCTTTGGCAAAGCGTGCACGTTTGAGGACACAGAGACGTAGTCAAAGGTTGAAAGCTTGTGCTGGAGGCTGAACTGAAGGATCGCCCCGTCATTTTCATCCTGTCGGCGACTACGAAACTTTTCATACACCCGTAAGGGTGGTTCGGTTCGACTAGTGCCAGCCAATAACGTCTGTTTGTCCTACCGACTCCTAACATCTGGTTGGTGGAGTTAACAGAGCACTCCGATAGTTGCAGAGGAATTCCGGGATCCAAGACGTCGTCTGTTCACTGCTAGACATAAAAAGGGAGAATGCTGACCTCCGTCACGGTTGAAAGCACCCATGTATCCTATCTTGGGCAGCAGCCCGAATGAGAGCACGCCACTTTTGTCGTCGCCAATGGCCGACAAGCAAGGCGGATCCCCAACAAGCGCCGGGGTTGCACCCTCACTTGCCCGACACCACCCGCAGAATCCCGCTGAATTTCAATGTCACCGCAGCGAGACCAAGCACAGACGCCGATTGGTCATGAGTGATGCGTCGGCATTCGGCTGCAGTCGTGCCCAGTCAACGCGTCGGACTTGGGCCCAATCGTTGAGTTGGCACCACCGAGTATGATGACGTTCCGTGGAAGTGAAAGTCACTCACAGGCTTCAGTTATTCTACGGGGTATTTCTGCACGCTATTCAGACGCAAGAAAAATAAATTGTGTAAATAAACCGATGAACGAGTGCACTGAAACTTTCCACCAAGGTGTCTTTAGATGGTGATTTGGTCGTACTCAAATTCCACGTGTGGGTTTCAGGAAAAAAAAAACAAAAAAAAAAACTCTGCCTTAAAAAGAAACTTGGTTTTTTCTACTCACGGCGAGGAAAATGGTAAAAACAGTCTTGTTCACGCTGCCACTCACAGGTGCTACCCCACACGCTCAGATCTCCTGGATCTGTTTTCGGGTGTCCATCTGAAAGCTTTCACGTTTTTTCCTTAAGTTGCACCATTCACAAGCAGCAGCGTCATCCAGGTCGTTTTTACCGTTTTCCTTCCTATGCATAATAATAAAAAAAAAAAGTTTTTTAGGTGTCAATTCCCTCCCCCCCCCCCCCTTATCTTACATTTACGAAATTTGAATGTGATAAATGCATCACTTAAAACGCTCCAGTAAAAAGTTTCAATGCATCCCATTTATTGGTATATCTTTTTTTTACTCCCGAATAGCATTCGGAGACACCCTCTGGATTCGACCACTGCTGTTTCAGGGATCTCTTCTTGATCGGCAGAAGGGGGAGGGCGGGGGACAACCTCATCTACAGAGGGCGAGAGGTGTATTGGACAATTACATAGACAAAAAAGTAGAAGAAAGCCAAACCAACTGTCAAGCTCTAAAAGGGAGAATAATCAACCCCACTTGTTCGGCGCACACGGCTAAATCTATTTAGAGCAGCCAGCCTCAATCAAAAAAATGTATCGCTCGTCGGGAACCCATCGCTCGTCGGGAACCCTCATTAGGCCTTGGAGACCCACCCCAAAGGGTTCTGCAGACCCCCATTTGAAAACCGCTGCCGCAGGTGGCCTGCCACTCACCATGGCAACGTAGTTGTACTTCTGGACGACGTGAATGATGGAGCGGAACTCCTCCTCGAGGTTGGAGGCCCAGACGTCGCGGATGCCGCACGCCTCGTTGCTGCACACCAGCAGCCCGTTGGTGCCTCCGCCCCCGGCGGAGCCACCGCTGCCGCTGCTGGACAGGCCGCCGCCGCTGGTCGCCGCATTGTTGCTCGGGGCTGGCATGCTCAGCGGGGCCGGGACTCAACATCACATGCGCTCATGGGGATGCCACCCTGGCCGGAAACAGCCAAGACGCGTTCCGTCAGTTGCTGCCGGCATCCGCATGGAGTTTGGGCGAAATTCCTCCGCCACACGACGGATTGGAGGTTTTTTACGTGCCAAACAAACAGCATCTGGCAAGCCCCGGCAACAGACCGGGGATTAATTTTGACCACGTGGGGACCTTTTGACGTACGAGCGAAGGCTTGAATGCACGGTGCCTTGCTTGCAATGAGCATCCAATTAATTGCGGGCACCTGTGCCGAGATTTCAACCCATCTTTCGAGAGCCCGGGTGGCAGGTTCAAATCATGAGGCTGTCACCCAAATGTTGAACCCACCACCCTTCAAATCGTTTCGCCTCGGAGCCACCGAGGTGGCCCTTTCAGCCAAATCTGCAAAGAACGAGGCTCTGTTGTCCAAGACTAAAGTTTGATCTTTAGGGTGCAATTTTGTGCGAGATTTCGCAGCTGCAACGTCGTTCAAGTGGCAACAAAGCAAACAAAAAGCACAGTAGAATTTCTGGTGCTTGTCGTCGCAGCTGCGAAACCGCAAGCAAACTCGCACCACATGAACCAGGTTTAAGAAACTATCGCATTTTTTTAATTATAGATGTTTAAACGTTGAAATTTTCTAATGTTGCAGACTATAGAAGGATTCACAATGACAGGATGCAATGGAATTTGTGAATGACAGGTTAGAAGGATTCACTATTCACTATGACGGGATGCAACAGTGTGTGAATGACAGGTTATGTTAATGACGGTTTCCATATGATACAAGCTTCTTTGTGCAATGATAGAGGATTTTTCGAGGTGTGCAACGTATGAAAATTTTATGTGCAAAATATGCAGCGGGTGCGAACCTTACTTTTCGGTCGAAACTTTCCCCTGTGGACCGGTTGTAGACCGGAAAATATAACATTCTAAAAAAAAAAAAAAAATATTCCTGCATACCTTTTTGCAGAACGCTCAGAACCAATCACTGCAATCCGCTAAACCCAAAAAGTATGTACAGACGCAAAAAAATTGACACTAGGCACGCCGTTTCACACGGCCAGTCCAGTGTGACATCGCAAACCTCATGCATCGCATAAAATTCAGGCAAGTGGAACAAACTGGCTGTCATATGTGCCCATTCAACTGCCAACTGAGGAAACTTATGTTTGGTTTGTTGCTCTCATCACAAAGGAACACCAAAGGCAAAAGAGAATAAAAAGGATTGAGAGAACGCACAAAACATCTCTCTGTAATGAATTTGCCAGACCGCCTAGTGTCTTCGGTGCTAGCCATCTCTTGAATACACACCTGCCCACAGTGCAAAAGAATACTCATCAATAGAAGATACTTAAAGTCTGTCTTCCTTCCAGGTCATAGGCAGCAGCAGCTTAGCATGAGGCAATGCCTTCAGTAGTCTCTCTCCTCTCCGTTATTTGTTTATAAAAGCCGCCTGTTTGTTCTGGCAACAGACTTATTCACGGCAAGCCACAATATCTCACGGCATCTTCTTTCGCAACTCGGCTGCAATAAATTACTCAGCCTCCGAAGAATGCCCCCTTCTAAATATACAACAAGCAACACCCCTTTCATACCAATGTTATTTATGATGTGAAGCAAATTCTGGTTTACTCAACGCAGATATAAGTCTTAGCCAAGGACAGTTCAGCAACCGAATCAGTTTACTCTAAATCACTATTTTTCTTGGAAAGATCCCAAACCATGCATTTTCAGTTTTCTACAACATTAAACTACTATCCAATAGCTGAAAACCACAAGCAAAACTAAAAATCAGTATGATTTTGTTTTGTTTTTTTCATACTTTTTAGGAATTTTTAGGGTCATTTCAGACGTGTCAAAAACTGATTTGATGCAAGTCTGGGAGCCTCCTACCAAAAGAGCATATCTAAATTTTTACACCTTGCCCAGAGTATGTTATGTGCTGTTTCGTCCTTGCACGCACCATTTAACGAGATGCACACATTTCTACTGAACAGGCTTCTGTTTCACAGAAGTAAGGGCTGTAAGCTCAGTGCACAAGCTTACAACACCAAAATATGAAATGAACCAGCCAACAGAAAACACAACCAAATGTAAAGGAATTTAGCACAGCGGAAAAGGAATACTGCAAAAGAAATTCTTTCCTCAGCAGGAATAAAGTGATCACAAAGAGTGAACTTCAGGATGCTGGGAAGGCGATGCAAGCATAAAATAAAGCTTGTGGCCCAACAGGCTGACGTAAGGAATGATTACAAAAGGCAGACAGTTTTCGCCGATGGCTGTCCTAGAATGAACTTTTGATCATACCAAAATTCAAATAAAGTTAATGATGCTGGATAACTTCTTTTTGTTTTTAGAGTAAGAAAACAAACATGCCGGACGAAGAGATGCTGTGCTGTAAGGCAGGCAAGTGCATTGGTCACAATACAAAAAGCTGAATCATTAGCTTGCCCTTTTCTCAGATGAACTTTGGGATTCTATTTCATTGGCTGGCTGAAGATGAAGCATGCTTGATTTTGGCCCATGCCATCCAGATTAGCGGTATCAGCATCTGGTGACCACTAACCATTCATTCCTGCGGTTGGCAACAGGTTAAGAGCCTTGAGTGTGAGCTTTTTACTTTTGATAACACTTCGCCACTCGCGCAGCCTAATCTTAACCTGTCTCCGACTTAACTGGCCAATAACAGGGACAAAAAAAGCTGATTAAAAGCCTCCTTACTTACTGAACAAAAGGAGAAGCGACAGTAAGAGAAGCGCCACCAAACTACAAGCACAAAATTCATGAACTTTGCCAAGCTACATTGCACGTAGCTCCCCCCACACAATAATGCAGCTAGTTTAGTTTCCCAACTTAAACAGGAGCTCCAATCACAATTGAACAGACTCCACCACACATCACACAATGCAACGCAGAGATAATTTCTGCTTTAATATGTTCAGCTACATTCTGTACCGCTATTCTTCGTTATTACCTGCCTCCTAAAAGCTCCCTATGCCCCCCTACAGCTAAACTCTTCAAGAGCTTGTCCCTTAAAAACACTAACAAGCCCGGAGTTTTGTCTTGAATCAACAGCAGCAGAAACTTGAGGGGCCTGCGTTGGGAGCTAATAACGCCTCTTGTGTCAGGTTGGTAGCTCCCAACGCTCAGAACCAGCCACTACCACGAATACACGGTTGCCTTGCCAATTTTATCTTTTCCATGTTATCCAGAGCTAAACCCCACCGATAAGTGAGCAAGGTAGACGTGACACCACCCACGGTTTCAGTGCACCAAAGGTCTAGAGGGTGTTTCTAGCAAAGGACGGCAGAGGACGACGCATATCTGAGCAGCCAAGAATCGCATGACTACACAAATGCTACAAAAAGCCTGCAGAATAGGCCCCGATTGAAAGGGAGAGGCAGTACGACTTGGACAAATGTCTCCCCCGAAAGGCGCGTCAAATTAAAAGCTCGGAGCTGCAATTTGTTTGCGTCCCTCCGCCTCATCTATTCGTCGTGGGTGACTAAGACCAGCATGGATCTCAATTGTTTCCCAAAGGGAGAGTCAAATGATGAGGGACGAACGCTTCTCTGGACGACAGTCGCGAAAGGGTTCGTGAGAACAAAGGGATGTTATTTTATGTGCTTTCAAGCGGATCCGGTGGGGCCTGTTCCGTGCAACGAAGGCACTTCCAAGACCATCGGCGATCGTTTTCAAAATATAAAGGGGAACCAACGAATCGCGACAAATCGGTTACCACTCAAGGGAGGCGACGAGCCTAGGACACGAGCTCGGTTTAGACGCAGTTGCTGTGGCGATGTGACGTTTTTGAGCACGGGGTGGTAAGAGCATCGGGCGCACTGCGGCGGTCCATAAAACGCAAATCGAACTGATTGTAGTCAGGGAGCGAGAAGGACTATTGTTCTAACCAATGCATCCTGCGCCGAAACCCGGAGGTATCGCGGCCCGTGCTCATTTGCTACGATTTCGGGCCGTGACTAGGCCTAACTTCAAATTTGGACACCTCCGCCAGGCACGTTCCGGCACTGGTGCGTTCAAGATAAAAAGAAAAATCGGTGTGAAACAAGAGTCGAAACGTGGGTCTTACTTCAAGTAGAAGCACTCTTCGGCATCGTCAATGACTTGCTAAACGGGAACAAAAAAAAAAAACACAACAACACCGTAGAAAAACGCGGAAAGTTTTGAGTCGAGATCACTTCGCTCACGTCGCCTGCTGTTTTTTTCAGGCCTTTCATGTAATGCCAGACGGAATGCTGGGTAAAATAAAATGGCGTCACCGATTATCTTTCTCGGGAAATAATGACGTCACGGATACTGGCGGAGTCTTTTCCGACATGTGATGCGCGATGTGATGTCATCGACGACGGGAGTCGGAGCAGCAGCGGTGTTTGCGTCTGGGCTGCTCATTGTAATCAGATTGGCAGTAATTTGTTTTTTGCCCCGGCTTGCGGAGTGATGTTCCAGGCGATCTTCGGTCGCAGAAGCAGCGAAGTGACTCAGCAATCGCCTTTACTGCTCCAGCGGCAGCGACAAATCGACTCAATCCGCTCCTGCTGTCCCAAGTGAGCTACGACCACCAAATCATTGTCAGCTGTATTCGATTCGGATTGAAGACCATTCTAAAGCATTTCGCCCCCTTTTTACTTGCTCATCACTAATTAGCTTAGTCTGTGCTGCGTACCGACAGCCGTAACGTCCTGTTGGATCGAACGCAGTGGTTCGACGACCAGTTTTAAGCTTCGATCATATCTCTACTCAGTCATAAAGCTCCGTCTAGTTCGGTTCTCTTTCGACGTTTGATTGATTGTAACCGGTTCCCAAAAATGGTTTGAATTTACTCGACAGCTAAGCCAGAAGCCTCGCGTCCTATCGCTCGCTGCACGAGTGATAAAATATTAGTCGCTTTTGTTTTTTTTTTATTGGTCTCTTTCCGCGTTGATCTGTTTGTCTATCTTTCTTTTGCTTTTTTTCCAGCATCGTCGAAGTCCAACCGGACAAAGAGTATCGGATCCCGTTCGTCGCCGATGGGAATTCTTTCGGCTTGGAAATGTGCGTTCCGCCTTGTTACTTTTCTCGCGTGTCTTTTTTTTTTTTTTTTTTTCCTGGTTTTTAGACAAAGGCACGGTTTGAAAGCCGTTGTAAAGCAACTGCAGCGTGCATGTGAGCTTTCTCAAACTGAAGCCAGATTCATAGGATGCTATAACCCCAGAAGCAGGTTTGACAGACGGCCACTGTCTTGATCATAACTGCACTAAGCGGTGAAAGCTTGGGTGATCTCGGTAACTTTGAGCTTGACTGTACCCAAGGCAACGCATCTGTGAGGTGCTGCAGCTTCCAGCACGGCATGCTTGATTCGGTCCCTTCCAGCTAAACGTTTCTTTGTGCTTTCCTGTCATCGAACAGGTTCTTTTGCATGTTTCGAAACGACGCAAACATTCGGAAACCTTTTGCACAAACAATTTCCAATAACTCCTGCAGAAGGCAACTTGCCACTCGCAGTCCTGGGATGTATCTCAACATAGTGACCGCAAGAGTCAATCAGGGTTTAGATTGTACACCCACGTCAAAACTGAATCTCAACGACTAGCAAGCCATGCATGTAATCAGACGTTAAAAGGATTGCCAACGAAGGCTGCATTTGTTTCTGATTCTTTGGGTGCCATGTTGTAGAATGTCACTGGTATATTCTTCGTAGACGAACACACGGCTCCTCCTCTTTGCAGACACCTCCCAAGTGCATTCCCGCACGAATGCCCTGTTCTGAGGGTGTCGCCGCCGGCAACGCATCCCATGTTAGATGAGAGCTACAATGTCACTGGAGTACCGGCCCTCACCGTGGTATGGTATACCATTATGTTTCTTTTTATTTTCTTTACATTGTTATTTTAGAGTGCAGCTCTTGGGCGTCCGCTTCCGGCTTCAGCAGCAAGGCCGTAGGCATAATTGCGCGTTGCATGATGGGACGTTTCCCATAATGACGTCACGTATGACGTTGCGAGGGCAAAATATTCACGCTAAATTCGGCGGGAAAGTTTTCTGCAAAATTTAGCCGGAAAATTTTTCCGATGAATTTAGCAGAAAAAGTTTTCGCTTAATTTGGCGGGGAAATTTTACCTTCGTTACATCTGACGTGACGTGACAAGGGTAAAATTTTCGTGCTAAATTAGGCAGGAAATGTTTCCGCTAAATTTAGCGGGGAAATTTTACCCTCGTGATGTGACGTCACATTATGCTCCCCTCCGTACCCTCCTCCTCTTCAGGAGCTGCACTTTAATTTGGCATTACAGAATATTGTAAACTCTTTCAATTTTTTATCAGGGGTTACCGCAAAGAACAAAACACAAATTGTTTTGAGTATGAAGGCAAATGTGCCTTCATATGTATTACTTAGTGTTCTATTTTGTGTACTGTTGTACTCCTGTGACAGCCCCAACGGACTAAAGGCCCGTTCACACTCTTGCAACCGAGTACGACCGAGAGAGACGAGACTAGTTGAAACCTCTTAAAATTTCTTAGGACGAGAGAACACATTGGCACGCTGGCGCCATCTATGCGGTGACCCTGGAACTGCATTTCAAGAGAGCGAAGGTTTTGCGGGATTTCCGATGTCAAATGTGTGTAATACCTATAAGAAAGGCTCTTTTATAACGTTGCCAAAAGTTTTTCGAGCCAAGAAAGAAAGGATAATGTGCGAGAGAAATAGAAAATATGCTGGACCGCCAAGTTTACACTGCTACGCAATAGATGGCGCCAGTGTGTCCTCTCATTGTTAGAGGTTTCAAGGAACCCAGTTTTAAGAGGTTGCAAGCGTGTGAACGGGCCTTAACAGTATGACTAAATAAAATAAAAATTGAAAAAGAAAAAAAGATGTCTTCGTTTGCGGCACAATTTTTTTCAGTGGGACGCGCCGGTCGACATTGTTTTTGGGCAAAAATATTTTTTGTATAATGCGGCATCCCCCGACAGTACTGTTCGCATATTTTGCACGTTTTCCATTTGCCTTTGACGTGTGGTTTGGAGTTTAAAAGTATAAGAAAAAACAAGTGCCCTAATCGTAGAAACAGCACGAAAGTTTTAAGCTTCGAATGTTTTTTTAGCAAATTTTGAATGAACAACAGTTTAGTGACTCCATCGTGTTACTGTATTCTCGAGCGGCAGTATAAACTCGAGAGAGAGCAGGCGGCACGTTTTTCTACAAAAAAAGTCGAACAAATGAGCGCGCAGGTTCACGGTGCCTCCTCTAGATGCAGGGGTGGAACGGATGCGCCATTTTGCACCAGACGCATGTGTCTGCGCCATCCTGCGCCATGTTGCAGAGACTGTGCCACAGCCAATACCTTGCGCCATTATGCGCCAAATCGCAAAACGTGCGCCAAAAAATTTTTTTATTAGGTCTTGGATTTGGTTTTTATCAACTCGATTGGCAACAATGAGGGCGTTTAGCCTGGTCGGCCTTGCAATCCTTTGTCCTGTTTATTCCCCCTGTGTATCCAGAGTCGGAAGCGCGCGAAAGAACTCGGATTCTGAGCGCTACACCACTTGCGACTGGATTGTTATTCTTCATCCATAAGCGGTTAAGCAAGTCTGCCGAGGTGAGGTCGAGTCGTTAAGCGTCAGATTGCCTGAGGCTCTGCAGCCCGGGATCCGGACATCATCCAGTTGAAAGCAAATGAGCAAAATATTCCTGCTAGTACTTCGTCGTTAGAAGTTAGAACCGCATTCTCGCAAGATAAATCGTGATTTGATAGAACTGAAACGCGGTCGATCCGAAACCTGGCCGTCCAGCAGCTCTTACGCGAGCGGTACATCTGCTCGCAGTACTTTAACCTTGCTCCTGCTTATCGCTTCAAATACGATAACTTTGTTAATCGTAGTCTGCTGCTTCGATATCGAGTTGCAAAATAGGATAAACTTGAAATTTGTTGCCCTGTTCCTTCGTGCAACTGCACGTCCGTTGCATACGCACGTCACGTGGTTCGCACATATAATTACTATGTCGAGCACATGTGGGTTGTGCGATAAGCAGTGCTGGTTTGCATCGTGAGCATCTGAAAGCCACTCAGAAAATATCAAGGACGCTATCTTCAGAAACATAGAGTACTTGCTTTTTGATTCTCATTAAGGCTCACAAAGTTTCAAGTTGTCGCATCTGTTACACTGTTATCCCATCTACATAGGTTCCTAATCACTCATGTTCATCTGTGTTGAAATTGCTCCCGTGCTTGTCTAAGACGCAAATTGAAGTGCAATGAAAACTGATCTGAGCTGCTCCTAGCCTGCTCCAGAACGTAGTTTTAGCTGCTCCCAACCTGCTCCAAAACAGCTGTTTCAGCTGCTCCCGTGGCTGCTCCCAAGTACATTTCATGAGTTCCACTCCTGAGATGGCATTGCTCACGGCAATGAATTTCGGTGGTGGCAATGGCATTGAAAAATCATTTACAAGACAAATAAAAGATGGGAATGAAAGCTTGCCTTTTTTTAGGAGAATGGTGCAGATGGTTTGCGCTTTGGTTGCACGTACAGAGCCAGAGACGCCGACGTTATAACCAGAAACACTTTCGGTGCAATGACGGACCATCGTAATCTAGGTGCAAAGGCTGGGTCCAAGATTCCGAAGATGGACCCACCCGAAACAAAGCACAAATGAAGATTGCCGGCAGGCGAAAGGGAATGCAATGCTCTGGTAACCGATCTGGCAACCCTGGCACTGAAAACCTGCCGTCCCTTGCAGTTCTCCATGCACGTGGACCTGGGCAGGATAATTCAAGGGATCATCATGGAATTCCAGAACCACCCACCGAGGCTGACAGCACCACTCAGGTAAGCCCTTGGTTCCAAAATCGCTCGGTTGAAAGTGCTTGCAGTCAACTTGAAATTCTTCTATGCCAACTTTGTATGGTGACTCGGGACTTTGCCTTGGGCTGTGCCACAAAACAGGGCAGCCGCAACCTTCTCGCCTTCGCCGGCTGTCCGCGGCGTGTACGGTGGGATGAAGCATCCGACAGCCAGTCCGGTAAGGGGAAGCGTTTTGAATGTTTCGACGCTTCAACTTCTTAAAAGAGGGCATCACCCGAAATAGCTGGGTTAACTTTGCCAACATGGTGACAGTTTCAGGAATGTAACATTTTTTTTACATCTTGCAACAACAAAGAGAAAGACGAATAGGTGGCACGCCATTACAAGCTAAAAAGGCAGATTGATATCTCATTGCATTAGTACGAAGTGCCATGACCAGTGTCTGCACTGATCTATCAACCAGAAGATCTGGCTTCGTGTCTCAAGCTAGATCTACCCTGCATCTTTTGTACTTTTTTGTTTCTGTTACAACTGTAATTCATTATGTGTTTTGCCACACAGCCTGATTTGATATATATGGTATTTTTTATATTGTCTTTGCCACAGCCTGCCGGCAGTCCCTTCAAAACTAGCCATGCAGCGTCTCAGTTCTCGCAGCTCGACGGCCTCACGTGAGTGACGCTGCCTGGCTTCGTTCACTTTCCATTCATTCATACTGCTTGACACGGGAACCAATCCTGATTATCAAAGCAGACCCAGTGGTTTTTGTTATAGGAATCACGAAAAGAATATGTACCTGCCAGGTTTTAATTTTTTTATATTCATTAAACTGCAAAGACGTTGATTCCTAAGCATTACGGCAAAATATTGCGTCTGCATTTTATAAGCCGCTTTTAAAAATTTTGTTTTTTGAACTGCGTGAAACTATTGAGGTACACCTTATGGCAGCGTGCGCAACAAAACTGTCATAGTAGCTACGTAAAAAAATTGAATAGATGCTCAACTTTATTTGATCTTCAAATAATAAAAAGGGAGGGATTAAAATATTGGGGTCCTTATTGGCGTTCTCTTGTTAGTGGGACGCCACTACATCACATGATGGGGGCACAGTTTCAGTTTCAAACATATCCGGGTCTTCTGTTGTTAGGTAACCGTCGCAATCGTGCTGCTTGTCCCACCGCGACTCGCATTCGCTATGGTGTGCAGTTGTGTAGCCTCATTCTGGATTAGAATTATAATAAAACAAAAATAGGAAGCAAAAAATATATTAGCTTAAGCGGATTCGAACGCAGAGTTTCCCAAAGTCAGTAGGGAGGAGATACGCGTGCATGTGACCTCGCGACTATCGACTCGCCCGCCATTGGCTGCTTATTTTCGCGGGTATAGTCCTAGGGCATTGTACTAGTTTTACCACGGCCGGCTTCATGGTCGAGGCTTTTTATGAATTTTTCTTTACCGCAATCTTCCTTAGCAGTAACTTGACAAGTTACTGCTGCTCCCGAAGTATGCAAAGGTGATTCATTTCGCTTTATATTTCCAGCCTTTTCGTCCTTTTTCTTGGTGCGAATCAGTAATTTTTTGGTTGAAGCGAGACTGTATTCGTTGTTTGTCGTCTGACGATTGAATTGGGGCGCGGCTCGATTGATCGAAGTTGCAAACAGTTACCTCAAATTGTCTTCTGTAGTACGGCATAGAATAACACGAACGACATATGGCGTTGGCAAACAGCTCAAAACCTAAAGGCCGGCCGCAGAGGTTGGCCATCTTACAAGTATATGTCAAAGCCGGTTGCGACCTGAGCATAATATCAGGCGTCGGATGTCATTCGTTAAATTGCGTGCATGATGTCATTATGGCGCCGCTGTTGGAGCATGTCTGGCGTTCTGGCTTCGTCCATAGTGTCTGGCTTACGTCGCCATCTTGCGCAGATAATAAAAGTACCCTATGGGGAGAGCACGTCTGCTTCTTGTGCAGGAGTTGCGGTGACGTCAGAATGACGCCAAACTCCGATTGGCTCCGATTGAAAGGATAGTGGGTAGTCCTCGATGCAAGATGCCTTGGGGGCTACCCACTATGTTTTTAATCTGCCAATGCAAGTTTGGCATTTTGTTGTCATCGCAGTCCCTGTGCAAGAAGCAGACAAACTTGTGCTCCGCGTTGGTTACCTATCGTGACGTATTTCTAGAACTGAGAAGGAAGCTCCCCTGGAAACCGATATTATCTGTTTTGTATTAGTAAATGAATCTGGACAATCAAAAGAATGAATGTGGGTTGTACCATCAAGGGCCAGGATTCCAAATAGACACGTAGCTTAGGATTTAAAAAAAGAATGTTTTACGACCCCTTTAAAGGGACAATGAAGACTTTTTTTTTTTCTTTTTTTAAATGGTGTTGTTATGCTTCTTGGGAACATAGCATGCTGCCCAATTTAGTGTAGACATTTGTGATGCGTATTTCTGTGCCTACGAAAGAAGTAAAGAAACCGAAACTGAACAATCTCCATTCTCGTTTCTGGGCTTCCGAAAACGGAGGTGACGTAGGGAGTGACGTCAAGTGTGAATAGTCGCTATCGGTAGTATTTAAAAGATCAAGAGTCTGGTTACCGCGGTGGGTTATAGCAGCGCGGTGGCGCGGTCGTTTCGTTGAATCTGTCAATATCGACAGCAATGCCGCTCTTGCGAGCGAGTTCGAGCTTCCGTTCAATGACCCAACACAAACGGAACGGGGGTATGTGTGTGGCGGCCTCCACCATCACCCGACGGAGACCGCCCAGCCGGTAACGAGCGGCCCGCATGCCGAAGTGCCCATAGTTGCTCGTTGGCCGTTTTGCATCCAGCGTAACAAAGAAAAAAAACAATTATGCTGCTTTATTTACAGTTTAGTAATCATTTCCGGTCCAATTTATACTTTTCATAGTTATTCAAGCGGAAATGAAAACAATATTTCTAAAAATCGCGTATTCGACCAATCGCTGACGCGTCTCTTGTGACGTCACGCTTCTTGGCCCCGCATCGGTCACGTGAGCTCCGCTTCTCCTGGCTTCTCCCGCAACTCTCGGGGCGTCGCCCCAGTCGATCCCGGTACGATTATTACCGCGACTGTTTAATTGATTTGCGCGGCATACGAGCGCCGGTTTCGGCTGAAATTTGGGCAACGTGGCCTGAGACGTGCCTGGAACCCAGTTCAATCGCCAAAAAGATATCCAAAATTGCCTTCATTGATCCTTTAATAAAACCGTCATCCACATACACTCCCGGGAGGTGTGTTGTGCGCTTTGTACTGGTCAGCTCTATAATGTCCTCACCATCAAAACTGAAACAAATCGAGAAAGAGTGGCGAGGGTGACCGAAAAACCAATTCTCACCCGCCGTCAACGTGCGAAGGTGACGGTGCCCGACAAAATACGGTCTTGTGACCGCTATTAGTATGTTGAAAGTGAAACTGCTTTTTGGGCTAGTGGATGCCACCGAATTTTAAAGAGGGTCCATTAAAGGGGTACTCCGGCGATTTTTTCATGGTCGCTGATTTGCCTCAAAATTGGCTCATTGCACCGATAGACATGGCTCTACGAGTTCCCCAAGTATTGTGTGAAAAAAAAAAAAAAAAATTCGCGAAGTTATTGAATTTTTGAATTTCGTTTTCATCGTGTTTCTCAAACCGGAAGCCCCTACTGGCAACATTGAAACGTGACGACAGAAATGGGATAAAGTGGGCAGTAAGCCATGTTCCCAACTGATCACAAGACGTTTGATGGTGAGAAAAGAATGTTTGGTAACTGATTCACTGAGAATCACGCAAAAAACACTCTACATTTTCTGTTTAAGGCTAGATGCACGACCTGAAAGTCTGTACCATATGTGACGTCACACCACTGAAGAGCGCGCAAAAATTTGAATGCTGGTTTCGGCATCATCTTCATTTACGGTTTTCTCAATTGCTATTTTGAATTTCTAGAAAATAAATAGCATACCATGACGACTGAAGTCCGGGTAGTCGGAAAATGCAATTTGTGTAGGTAGCTCAACAAACGGCCGGATTACCCCCTTAACCGCCTCCCGTCCTGGCCGCAGAGTGTTGCAGCTGGAAGAACTACTCCGGGACGAAAGCAAGCTCTCCGAGTTTGTGGAGCGCCTGCCGGAGGTCGTCAGGTCGGAGGAGATCAAGCAGCAGATGGTGTTGCAGAACGAAGACCTCGCACGTGAGCAAGCTGTGCCCCTGTCTCCCAAGTGCACCGGAGCGCAGTAGACCTTTTCAGAAATGTGCAATGCCTCCCGTCGTTTCTTTGACGCACTACGGCATTCTGATGACGCATGGAGGAGGTCCCATACATAGATGGAGCAGTTCACGTTTGGTAAAAAAGAAGGAACTGCACTCCCAGGATGTGTAAAAAGTACATCACAATAGCCCCACAATTTTCCTTGCGCTGATTCGATTGCATTCTGTTACAACATACGAAACGTATGACAAGCCCCCTCTTCCCACGAAGCACTCTGCTTGCCATGGTTGGTTGTTTCCTCCTCTCCACTCACCTCTCCAGCGTTCACTCTGCTAAAGTGGAAAGGGAGTGCTTTGTAGGGGGTGCTCGTCCTGCGTCGCCTATGTTTTGCAACGAGCTACAGATCCACCAGAGAAGCTACGCTTTGGCAGAATGACACTTTGCCCATCGCGGCGCTTTAAATCATTGTTGCCAGCTGTCTAAAGCTTTATCCGAAACCGCGTGAGACGCTTCTCCGTTCTCTAGAAATGTCGAAACGGCTGGTGTCGGAGCAATGCGACGCCAGCCGAGCTTCCAGTTGTATTTCTGATTCCTAATGATCCCCAATCGCGTCCACTCTGCACGAGGCACCAAAATGGCGGCGTCCACAAGAAAATTGAGGGATCGGGTGTCGACACACTAGGCGTAGCTTATTAGCGGCTCTGGGTGTCACGTGGTGCCTTTCGAGAAAGGGGCGTCCTGTACCTGTGGTTAAAACTGACGTGCGACCTCAATTTTCTGCGAGGCGGAAAATTTTCTTCAGACTCTCCTCTCTCGCGCAGCAGAGGATAGGGAGGAGGTAGCGACGTTTTGGTAGGGGGGTGGGTGTCGTTTTCTCCCGAATTCGGGAGAATACAAGACCCTGAAAAGGGGAAAGCGATTGCGTACGTCAGCCTCTGACGGCGTCCGGCAAATACGGCTTCGTGTTTTTGTCAGCGAACCGTTGGTTTTTAGGCAGCTCTCTTGGCTTGCAAAACAAGTTGGGTGTGCAGACTTGCCTCGTTTGTTTCGTGAATAGGCCTGAAGAGCTGCTCTCATAGCTCTTCAGTTTAAAGTTTGTAGACTTACTGTGCTGCTTGAAGAGGTAATATTGCTGAGTAAACAACCGAAGACGCTCTCAAGATAGCCCAACAACCGAGTTAGAAGCGTGCATGCCGACAGTAAAGGACTACGGCCGCCGCAGAAAATTATCAGCGCTGCAGAATTTCAGTGACTGGCCACATTGAAGGTGTGCTCTGTTCTCTTTTTTACAACAGGAAGAAGTCTGGAACTCAAACCCATCATGGAAGAGCGGAAGAACTCCTTGTTGCAAAAGGTGAGCCTCGGAATTACAATCGAGGTGTGACGTCCAATATAGACTGTGCGAGGTGACCTTGTAGTGCTTGTTTGTTGCTTACGGGGAATATATCTTTTTACAGTCGGCCTCTGCGCATGCACATTCCTTCTCCCCTGACACTAGTTTCCCACCGGCGCCATTTTCGGAGGGCACTGGCCCGCCCAACCGACATTGTCAGCACTTATCTTTGCGCATATTTTTGCAGACAATTCTACCTAAACGGCACTTGTTACCTAAAAACGGGTCTTTTCCCTCTGTGGATTTGGAGCTATGAGCACTTTTTTGTGCAGAGAGCAAGTTGTCTGCTGTTTGTGCAGGAGTTGCGGTGACGTCAGAACGACGCTGAGCCTTGATTGGCGTTGATTGAAAGGATAGTGGGTAGACCTCAATGCTAGGTGCCTTAAAATCTACCCTCCATTTTTTTTTCCCCCGATTAGTTAATAAGAGCTTGGCGTTTTTACATCATTGCAACCCCTGTATAAGAAGCAGATGAACTTGCTCTCTGCATTGGTATCTTTTTTGGCATGCAAGCACACACTTGTATCCATCTCACCCGAGGTGCAAGCATGGAGCGCTTTTGAGGGAGTTCCGCACAACTCTCTCGTTGCCTTTGCAGGTGGACAAAGTGAACACCCTGAAGGCGGAATTCGAGGCCGGCAGCGAGGTTTTCGAGGTGCACCAGAGGGCATTCCACACGTCGACGCTACAGGACAACCTCAGGGTCGGCGCGCAGGCGGCGGAAGAAGAGTCGGAGACGGTGGCGCAGCAATTTCTCGACGGTGAGTCTCCTGTCGTGTTTCCTCTCCGACCTAAACGAGTTGCTTGTTTGAAAGTGTCTTGCCGCACTATGCCCTAATGTCCCGAGAGACAGCCCACCAAAAAGCGAGGGGAAATTGGGTGAGACTGGGGAGTGGGCTAACTTTCGGTATTCGATTGAGAAACATTTTTTACAGGGGGCACTCCAGTGCTTTTTGTAGAAGCTTGTTTTTGACGACATGTTGTTTGTGGGGCTTTAGCATTGTTCAAGAACTCAGTTGAAAAACTGCCATAGAAGCCTGCTTTCAAAAAGTGTCTCCGATTCATACTCAAGAACCTAACTTGACGCGATCGCAATGCTGCCATTTCTCCCGCAGCAGCCACTCCAGGAACTGCATGGCTGCATACATCGGTTCAGTCGAGTCGCGCAAGGGTCACTGGCGCCATCTCGCAGTGCCATGTCACAGTAGCTATATAAAGCAACTTTTATGTTTTGACTCGCCGCTAAAGTGTGGCACTGTAGTCGTATTGTTTAAGGTCCCTATATACTGAAAGGTAGTGCAAAATATTTTCAGAAGAGAAATTTTTTCCCGCTCATGCCCTTTCCCTCTAAAGGCTACCTCACTTCAACTGGATCGGGTGCGACTCGTGACCGTTACCTCCCCATGAGTCCACGCGATTCGGTCATCTGCTCTGAACTGGCACCATTTTCGTGTGAGGTATGGCAGTGGCTCCGCTGCTTTCGGCCCGGCCATAGGTTGTTTTTTTTAGGCTATCGGCGACTCTGACGTGAGCACCTTTTAAAGCAGTAGCTTTATAGGGCGAACCAATCTCAGGAGTCTCATAAGCACGAAACGTGTAGGTCCGTCACTCCGTAACCGTTAAACGACTTTGAAAAGAAACGGCAACCGGTGCCAGGGATCAAACCCCTGTCACCGGCAACGAAGCCAAGTGCACTGCTGACTGAGCTACGAACCCAGCATGCAGGAACGGGAGGAGCAGAAGCAGGTGGTGTGAGAAAGTGCATAGGTAGAGTGGAGAGGGGTGGAAAGGGCGAGAATGAGAGGAGAAAAAGCAGGTGGTGTAGAAAGACCATGCAGAACAAGGAGGGGTGGAAAGGGTGTGAAAGCATGCTTCCCCTCTTTTGGTGTCCCAAAAAAGTTTAGCACAAAGGCTTTGTATTCAGGTGGTCCTCAAGGGAAGTGCGCACAGCGTCACAGAGAGACAATGGTGCGACGTAATCTGTTTCCATACAAACCCCTGCCCTAGGCACCCCCTTAACTAAGAGCACCACCAACCTTATAAAGTTTCTGCATTTAAACACGCTTGGCAGTGGCCAAACATGCAGCAAATTTTTGTTATTTTGTTTAACACAGGATATGTTATATGGCTGGCTCGTAGCCGTTTCCAGTTACCCGGTCCCTCTAATGGAATAGCACCACACAACAATTTATTGGACATTAATGCTGCATCAGCTTATGGTTGAAGCTTGGGTCTTCACTAGTTGAACATGAGTCCCCAGCCAAATGCTTATACAGCGCTCGTGTCCAGTCTGTGTCCAGGTGCCCTGGCTTTGTTTACCCCTTGTGATCTCGAGTATCGGAAGTTTTTTCAAATACCGAATCTGAAGCAACAAAGACATTACTGACGAGTGTTTTTCCCCAAAGTTTTCCACGCCAAACTATCTAGTACAATTAAACATTGAGTGTGATGTTGGCTGGCCGAATGGGGCAGTCACGAGGTACTTATTGGAGGTTTGAAGATAAAACTATTCTTTGGTATGGTTCTGGAAGTGGATGCAGTTCGTTTGCCAGGATCTTGTTGTTTTGATTTTATCTTATGATCTACTTCGCAGTGTGAACTGCACTTTCCAGAGCTATGTCCTAGTGATGTGTTAAGTTTGCTTTGAAAGAAGTCGATGCCCATTTTTGCTCAAACTCATGTTTTGGCTGTGACAGCAAACTGTTTCTTCTTTGTTTATTCAACAGGCAAACTCAGCACAGATGCATTCCTCTCTCAGTTCATGCCAAAAAGAATGGTAGGTCAACTTTGCTTTAGCAAGTTTAGAAAATTATGGTACTTTACAGTCGTCTACCATTGTTGTTTTCATTGTGACCTTTTAATACCCCTGGGTCCCGCTTAGGTAAACCCCATGCGTTTCCTAAACTGTGAGTCCCTTCCCCTCCCCTTTTGAAAAGTAATGCATTTTGGTGGGGCATTTATCTATCATTAGGTGTTAAAAAATTTCACCTAGTTCGATGCCTGTGACATTTTACTAGCATATTTTTGGTCAATGCAGGCAATGGCATTTGTAAATCATTGGTTGCAAGAAGTCCAGAGACTGGAGATAGGTTATTGTGACCCTCATTTTAGCGTGTGCAGCTAATATGTTAGTCGTAAAAGACCTTTTTCAAAGTTCAGTCTGTTAACTTTGATTGCTATCATCATCTCAGTGTAACGGGCGGCAGCTAGGTGGCGCAAGCTGCCACCCGTTACAAAGGGTATAGCCATTACCATCCATCCATCCATCAGTGTATGGCATTTGTGCCAAGGTAATGGTGGCCTTCTTGAGGCTGTTGAAGGATGAGATTGAAGGTACTACCAGGCTGAAGACATGAGGCCCATATGTTCAAGATGTGAATACAACACGATGCACAAATTAGGTACAATAGTCCATAAGCATTTATTTCAGAGTCTGTTCCAACCAATCCCTTAGTACAAGTTCGGCTCTAAAACCTTTTGATGGCAGAAATTCAATCGAGGCACTTATGGGTAGTTCACTTTGTACTGGGCATTGCTTATGTTCACACCATCGAAACTGAAACAAATCGAGAAAAAAGTATGAGGGGATCAAAGAACCAATTTTCATCTGCCATTGCCGTGCGAAAGTGGCGGTGCCCGTTGAAATGCAGTTTCATTACGGCCATTAGCTTGTCAAAAGAAAACTGCATTTTGAGTCACCAAGTGGCACTGAATTTTGAAAAGGGTCTATTAGTGAAAATCGAATTTGGGGGTTTTACGTGCCAAACCAATGACGGGCATCTGGCACGCCCCAGCGGAGGACTGAGGATTAATTTGGACCACCTCGGGATCTTTTGACGTGCAACCGCAAGCTCGTTTACATGGTGCCTTCTCCACAATAAGCCTCGGTCAGATTGCAGGCATCTCGGCCGGGATTCGAACCCGCCACCTGGGTATCCTTAGACCGGCACTTTGCCTCAGAGCCACCGAGGCGGCTGGTCTATTAGTGAGTGAAAGCACAGTAGTATGACAGTCTTGGCTATCTGGTAACTCTCATTCCCGCGCTGGTGTCTCTCCATAACTCTAAAAACCTGAGAATGAGGGACTGTTTCTACATGCGCCCCTATCTCGGATTTTTTTTATAATTATGAGCAACATACATTTTCTCAAACAAAAATACAGCAAACATTAGGTTATTCCTTATGTGTTCAGATGTTAAAATTTAAAGTTAAACATACTACTCACGTTCAGAAACGAGTTAAACATGATGAACGAAATCTGCTAATGACAGTCGCATGTTTGTATTTTGAATGGACGGCTATATTTCTCGTTCCAAACAGTTGATTTGTTGCCTTCAAAATCAAATTTCTAGCCACAAACAGAATGAGAGCAAAATTTGAAAGAAATTCAGTGCTGCCATCTTTTGGCAGAGCCTCAAACCTTGCGCGGTCTAAGTCGCAAGACCTTCCCTGTCTGAAATGTTTCTACTTGGGCCATCACGAGAGTTTTAAGCAGATATGGCAATTCCCGAAAGCCTGTAATGCATTTCAAAGCTAATGTAGTTTTTACATAGGAGTGTCATTTATCATAAATAAATCACCTGCCAAAAATTTAAAAAATGTAGTGTTGATTACATTGAGCTACAGCCAGTAGCTCAGTGTAATTAATTATCAAGTTTGCGCAAAAAGCTTCAGGATTCAGTTCAGTTGCTGCAGTAAACAACAATACCAAGTTCACTAAAATCTCAATCACGAGAACATTGTTAGCGCCTTTCTAAGACAATGGCATTCAACTAAAGGTCTGTCCACTCGCACACCACGGTGCCAACTCTGTGCCGTTTCGACCGGGCAACGAAGTTGGGATTCACAGCTAACACCATCTTGTGCGGAACGTTCGCAGCTCTGAAACGGTTTGCGGCCTCAATCAATGGATGCGATCTCGAGCTCTAAACGCCCGAGTGCCCCGCCGAACCGCTATGCAATGCCTGTGCCAAGTCGTTCGAAAACATGGCCTGCCCGAATTTGCCCATTTTGGCTACCGGCCGCTTCAACCGTGCTCCATTCGCCCCCAAGCTGCCAGTGCGGTGAGATCTATGCGTTCACTGGACCAATCGACTGCCTGCCTTTTGCCACCCGATCCCGCCGTTTGCGCGGAGACAGATGCACAACCGGTCCAGCGAGGGCGTAGCTTCCTCCGCACTGTCGCCTGAGGGGTGAACGGAGCATAGCAAACGACATGCACGACTTAGTGCTATCTGAGCACCTCGTTGCAAGATATGAATAGGGGAGGACACGCAGCACGGCGAACGCTGCAACACGATCGACCAAATAAAGTCCTATTGGTGTGCACCCAAGTAGCCCGAGCCGACAGTATCTCTGACATCCGAACGGGGCAACAAAAACAAACAAAAAAAGTTGTTTTCATGGCACTTGGCCGGCCACGCGCTCTTTCCGCTCGGAGCGTCTGCGCCGATCTTGGCGGATGCCGACTCGAACGCCGTGCCAGGAATCTCTTCGCTTCGGCGCGTTTGTTAAACCGTCGTTACCGCCGTCGAGGCACGAAACTAGGGTCAGGGACGAAGCAGTCTCCAGGCAACACAGCTAGCGCAAGTGCCAAGTTCTACACGACGTGGCGCACCCAGAAAACGACTTTAAAGAAACAGGCACGTCTCCTACGGAAAAGCGTGAAAAAGCGGGCCCGCGACGGACCGCCATTCGCCGCATGTCGAGGAGCTTTCTGGTGGCGCCACTTGCAACCGAGGAAAGGAGAGGACTTTATCTGGCGGCTGCGACATGCGCAGTGTCCGCACCTATATATACACCTTACACCGTGCTCAGCACCGAGTCGGTGCCGACACTACAGTCATCGACAGGGAGGGAACGGCAGGAAACGTCTTTCTAACACCGGGCTTCCAGCGCGTGCTTTGTGCCTTCTGCCACGGTATAGCTACGTGCCTGCAGGTAGCCATACACACACACACGCATTGTCGAAGGTAGGAAGCTCGCGCTGGAGGCGGGACGACCGGAGCTCCTGCCCGTCGGTCTCGGCTCGTCAGCTGCTGGCACTTGTGCAGCCAACCTAGTACCATTTCTGCACCGTACGTGCGAAACACGACTATTGTCACGCTTCGAGGGTCCCTTTCACACTTTGCAATTTTGAGAAGTTGCACAGTACGCGCGCTGAAACCTATTCTCCTCTGTGCTGTCTTCAACAGCTGAGTCACACGAGGAGGGCAAAAGAAGAGAAGCTTCACTACCAGCTGCAGGAACTTCACAGGACTGGATTCTGAAGAAGTCGCAAAGACCGGTCGCTGCCACGAAGGTGACCGTGGTCCGCGTCGGATACCGGCGGTCCGAAAGAAAACATGAAAAACTCGGTGGTGCTTCTGGGAACCAGGGAAGACTGGAACCCCCTTTTGCCCGCGCTTGCTCGACTGTACATATACTTAGCCGCCGACTACAGGCTGACGCGACTTTGCCGGCCGCTACTCTCAAGTGGCCTTTTTGTAAGACGGTAACCAACTGCTACTGTAAATATCTAGCCAAACGAATGTTTGTATTTATAAAAAAAAAAGGAAGGGAGGGGGGAGGAGTCGGAAAGAAGAAACAAGAAAAAAACAGTTGTTTGTGAATTTTTCTTTTTGTACGGTAATAAACGTTAACTCGGCGTACTGCACCCCCCGTTCCATCGTCTGCTTTCGCATAGAGGTACTAAATGAGCTAAGCTTGGAGTATTGTAACTCATTCCCCGATTCCCCTGTGGAGCCGCCATTTTGGCGATTAGTGCAGGGTGGGCGGAAATGGCAATTGGTGCAGACATCGCTGTGCCCCGTCGCAGATCATTCCAACATTTCTGGAAGACAAAAAAGCGTTTACTGCCATTTCAGAATAAAGCTTCAGACGAATGGCAACAATGATTTTAAGCTCAAAGACGGCCGAGGTGTATTGGTTTGTCGCAGGTTAAGACATGCAGGGCAAAGTCCTCCCTCAAAGTCCTCCACTGTTTACACTTTAGCAGAGCGAACGCTGGCAAGGAGTCAAGTCCCTCCTGACCGGCATTTGCTCTGCTAAAGTGGAAAGAGTGGAGGGTTTTGCGGGAGGAGCTCGTTCGTCTGCTTCTTTTACAGGGTTGGAAGTGATCGGCTATGATTGAAGTATACACCTTTCCAAAAAACACTCCTAGGCCGCCGCCATGTTGCTGATGCTGATGCGGCTGGTGCGACTCTCGCGCCCTCTATCAGCTAGAAATTTTCTGCCACTCTCTGGGACTGTGAAGGCCCGCTCAGCGCGGTTCTCTACCTACGTTTTTGCGGTTTTGCATTCAACGTTTTCTCGGCTCTCTTGAAAGTTTCCACTTAATTTTTTTTTATGCGTGCTGCGTACCCTTTTTGTGTTATCTTCCATTGTGAGAAAGAAGGCTGGTAAGTGCCTGCCATTCAAACTTTTCTGCTCGACATTCGCGGGAAACGAAGGAGGTGAAGAACGTCGAACGACCCTCGACTTCATTTGGTGAACATTGTTCTCCCCCCTCCCAGAGATAATCCCCGTAGAATCCTCAGTCATCTCCGAAAATAGTTGTCCGGGTTGGGGTGACAAACGGGTCAGTCGCGTTTGTTTCTTTGCCTTGGTGCGGTTGTGAAAAAAGGAAGCTCTCCCCAAAACCTGCCCCAAAACGAAGTCATCTCGGATTCCGTCCGATCGTCAAGATGTGACTTTCGTCGACTGTGACTGTGTTATTTGAGATCTTTCTCAAATAAATTCTTTTCGGATAAAGCTGCATCGTGTGGTAGGTACTATATATTGTTCGGATGTTAACACTTCCTTAATTGTATGTCCGTGTCCTGTCCATCGGTAAACACGTTATTTGTGAGCGTGAAAAATGCATGCCTTTCGGCCCTTTTCTGTTGCAATTTATTTTTGACAGCAAAGCGCTTTGTCGTTTCACATGCGGCGAATCCCGCGGCGCCGCCAAGACTTATCCTAAGAAAAAAACAAATAACTAGAACTAAACATTCCAGTCGCATTCGTCCTGTCGTGCGCGTACCCAACAAAAATAGTTTACAGCTTTTTTTTTTGTTGTTTTTCAAATGTGGAACAATGCTTCTTCAATGTCCTCGGGAACATACATGTACCATGAAACACAAAATATAGCGGGAAAATACGAGAATTCAGCCGCCAGCAGCGTTTGAAACTGCGCCTACGCAGGCTGCGCCTGTTGAAATCACAGTCCCCTCGGTTAGGGTTAGGAGGGACGCCGGTGAGAGTCTAGCCTCAAACTCAGTGACTGGGCTCGAAAACGGTTTGTTGCCCCTGGGGTCGAGTGTTTTTAGAGCGCAGCTCTTAGGGGCCCGTTCCCGGCTTGAGCGGCGTCGCCGTCGGCGTAACCAAGGTCATCCCAAGGTCACGTGACCCCTCCCAAGGTCATCTCAAGGTCACGTGACCCCTCCCAAGGTCATCTCAAAATCACGTGACCCCAAGACCCCACGTGACCCTTTGAAGGTCACGTGACCCCCAAGTCACGTGACCCCTCTGAGGTCACGTGACCCCCGAGGTCACGTGGTCTCCTCCCCAAGGTCACGTGACCCCTCCCAAGGTCACGTGACCCCAAGGTGACCCCCAGGTCACGTGACCCCTCTGAGGTCACGTGACCCCTCTGAGGTCACGTGACCCCCCGAGGTCACGTGACCCCCCTCCCCGAAGTCACGTGACACCCCCCCCCCCCCCCCCCCGAGGTCACGTGACCGCCCCCCGGAGCATATTAAAGAATGAGGGGAGGAGGAGGGGTCTACCCTCCCCTCAGTACCCTTCACTCCTCCTCCTCAAGAGCTGCGCTCCAATTCGGCGTTACAGGGATTTGTAAACGGCTTTCACTTTTTTGGAAAGGTGTATAGTGGGTAGACCTCAAGGCAGCTTGCTTCGAGGTCTACCCACTATCCTTCAATTGGAGCCAATCAGAGCTCAGCCTTTCGACGTCACCACAACCCCAGCGAAAGAAGCAGACGAACTTGCTCTCCGCCTAGACCTTTCTCAAAAAAACTCTCTCAGGCCGCCGCCATTTTGTGACTGTCCTGACCCCCATCTGCCAGAAATATCTGCCACCCGCCTGGGCCGTGGAAACCTGGCCAGTGCAACTTCCCACATACGTTGTATTCGAAGTTGGCCAGTATTTTCTGAAAGTTTTTATTTTATTACAGCAGAGCTGTTAAGGGCTAGTTTCCCCAGTATCGTGTTTGCGGACAAGCGGCGTGTCGACACAAATCTCCAGACAGCTACCGCCATCTATGAGCGACGGCAACAGCCAGACAACCAGCTTGCCGGTTGTCGTTAACGCTTATAGATGGCGGTAACCTTTCCAGCCTTTCCACTGTGGTTTTCGCCAGAGTGGAAAGGCTGAATTTCTCCAGGCGTTGTCCTAGAAATCGTTTTTGAGGACGACGCCAAGAGTACGACGTCCTCTAGGCGTCGTCCTTGAGATCGCCCTACGCGTCGTCCTCGAGATTGTCCTAGGCGTCGTCCTCTAGGCATCATTCTAGACATCGTAAAAATAACAGCTTCGCTGGTCCTTTATCTTCATGTGAAGTGGAAGGGCTCTACATTTTTCTCTATGCAGGATGCTTACCCTTTTTCTGTTATCTTTCACTGTAAAAACCAGGGGATACCAGGGCCCATAGCCTGCGCAGCCTTTGTGGGAAACAAAGGGAAAATGGGACCGTCGACCGATCTGCGACGCAAGCCGTTCTACGTTCTTCGAGGATTATCTCTGCCGAAATAATCTCAGGAAAGCCTTTGGGCCCTCGCGAAAAATAGTAGATTGGGTGCGGGTTGGGGGATGGAGCAGACACATCCAATCAGTATGCTTCGGTGCTGCGCAAAAAAAGAAACAAGCTCTCCTTAAAACGTGCCCTAAAACAAGTCCGGATTCTGTTGGATATTTGTGGCACGACTGTTGTCGACATTGTGGATTGGATATGCCACGTTATTCGAGATCTTTCTCAAATAGACCCTGTTCGGATAATGCGGCACATGGGGCATGTACGGCATCTTGTTTGATTGACAAGACTCGCTTAATTTTGTTTTGTAGCAGCGAGTTCCTGCACCTTTAGGTTAACTCGTGTGGTTAAATATTGTTCGACAGACCTTTGCAGATTGTCACAGCTGAGTGTGTATGTAAACAATCTGCATAAAAGGAAACAAACATTCCGGTTGCGATTTGATTTTGTTCCGTCGTGCATGGACTCGCCAAAAATAGCTTTCATTTGCTTGTTTTTTGTTCCCAAAAATTATACAATGCTTTCAGCCTCAAGAAACTATTTTCCATAAGACACATGACAAAACAATAAAACGCAGCAATTTAGCCACCACCAGTGTCTGGAATTGCGTCCGCGCAGGCTGCCACAGCCCGCCGAAGGGAAAACCCGCAGTTCCGGCAGTTCTGAGCCGGGCCACAGCCCCGTTGAAAACCAGAGACGCACGCCGTAAATCGCCTCATTTGAGACTGCCGCTGGAAGTCTACAGTACCCCTGAAGGCACAGCCTATTCAGTGACTTCTACCCTTGCTGTGGCGAGTGACTTTGAGGCCAAGACAGGAACACTCAAAAGTCTTGACTAGGACCAGGTACATTTTGGAACGAGCCCGAAAAACAGATGTACCCGTCTTGGAACGCTCGATTGTAGTGGAGCAGAGGCTAGCCTGAGGCTCTTTAAGAGAGGTTCGGATATTTACATTCGAGCGTGTTGTGCCGCTTCCGACCACCAAATATTGGAAGGACACTGGCGCCACCTATCGGCTGGCCCTGGAACACTTCTGACCTGCGAATAACTAGACCACGGGTTTAGCGGCGTATTTGCAAAATCAAACCTATGCACCATCTACGAGAAGTGGTTGCTCGTAACTTTGGTACAATTATCCCGAGCCCATGACGAAATAATGGTTTGTAAAAAATTGGGAAATGTGTATATAGACCAAAAGCGTTTCAACGCCACCGATAGATGGTGCCAGTACACACCAACTCATGTGCCTTTAGTGTCCACGCTCCAGTATACACCAACTCATGTTTACAGACAAACCGCAGCACCCCTTGCAGACGCCACCGGCGTTGCGCATGTGCAACAGGGTGTGGGCGAGGAGCACACAGTCTCCTGTCAACGAACCGTGGGAATTCAATGATGTCGGTGCGAGTTCCCGTGTCTTTCTAGCTATGTCAGACTACTTTAGTGGCCTCAGCGAAATGAATGAGGCTTGTTACGGCCCAAGACTTCTGCACGAAATGAGACGTGCAATTTTCAGTCGCGACGTCGCTCGGGCTGCAAAAGAGGCATTGACGGCAGCAGCGATGCTTGACGTCGATACTGAAAACCGCAAGCAGGATCAGACCGTATGAATCGGGCACGACAAGTCGGTGATGGCTACCGCTAAGAATGATCAGCATCCACTTGTATCTGCGCCGAGCCTACTTGCACCAAACGACCTTCAAATGAAAAATCTTGTGAGGCCCGCACTTCTTATCGCAATTACCACGTCACTGTGTGGTCTACAGGCCCGTGTCGATTGAACAATCAGACAAGTTTGAAAGAGCACACAACAGTTTAAACGATCAGACGGTTGTTTGAACGTGAAGACCCGAGTTCATGTTCGAACACAAGAAATAAATATTACAATCCCAAATCTCCGTGAATATAACTAAAAAAACTACTTCCCGTACAAGCAAGCGTGGTTCGACGGTGTCTGGTTTTGCCTTTTCACGACACCTATCCATGTTCTCAGACGAATCGGTCGGGCACAAAACACAAGAAAACTATTTTGACATTATTCCTGGCTTTTTTGGTGCAGCTTCAGTCGCGGTGCTTGGACGAGAAGGCAGGTTTTGGCCAATGCAACTTCCGCCCTAACCATCAGACCAGAAATGCACCTGAAGTGCCACCACCGTGGCGTGACATAACAAAGACCTCATTCTTTCGTAATAATTTAAAGACGGTACTTTAATCGCGGCGACCTCACATCCTCTCCACGGTCTTGATTCCCAGGATGTGGAATCCCTTGGTCATGACGGCGGCGGTCGCTTCGCAGAGCAACAGCCGGCCCTTGTTGACTTTTACCACTTGGCCTGAAAAGACAGTAACAAACAAAACATCTCTTTCAGGCCCACAAAAAAAAAAAAAAAAGGGTTTGTTTATTAACTTACAAATTAATAACTGACAAGGTGGGAACAGCAGGGAAGAGCTTCAATTGTCACGCCTCTGGCGTGAGCTTACCTTCGCCAACGCATCAGCGTCTCGTACAGCACGTGTGCGCAGCCAAGGCAGGTTGCAAGGCATGGAGCACATGCTGGACGCTAGCGTTCCAAAAACACACCTGGTCAGTTTCATTTTAGTCAGTTACTATAGAACAACTCCTGTTTGGGAAACTGCTATAGGAGCCTGCTATGTTTGGAGAACAGGATCCAACTCATACTTCAGAACCGAACTACATACAATCGTAGCGCCACCGTTGCTGGGGAAAAAAAAATTCATAAAATCTCGCTTGTGTCTGCAAAGTGAACATTTCCTTACTCCCACCACAAAACAGTCTATGTACTGCCAACTAACCAGTAAACTACAAACAAGCTGACCACCAAGGGTCAGCACCGTAATCAAATTTGGGTTCCAGTGGCTCGGTACCAGTGAACACGAGGGGTCCACTGAATTTAAGTGGCAACCGTCACGTGGAAGCCCCCTCCTCACCGGTTGCTTTGTCTTTCTCGATGCAGTAGCAGTTGTCGTAGAATTCGGAGAACGTCTGGGACAGTTCGAAGAGGTAGTCGCACAGTGGGTGCACGTGCAGCTCCTCTAGCATCGTCGAGATCACCTCCGGGAAACGGAGCAGAGTTTTGGCCAGCTTGCGTTCCTTTGGATGCTCCACAGGAACATCCTCGTCCTTCAATGCGTCGACCGACATGCCGACATTGCGTGCGATGGACCTGTAGTCAAAATGCGCAAACTGGAACTGCTTGTCGAAGGCTGGAGGGATGCATGGTGGCATTAACCCCTCAAGTTGGGCGGTGCCTCGCACCACAAAGCCAGTTTGTTCGGAACTCATCTCGAAACAAGTCGCGTGCGAACGGCTGCCAGGACTGTCCAAAGTTAGCTTCTGATCTCGTCTAAACCGAATGTCAAGTGCAATGAGTACTCGATACAAAAGCGCGAGCGGGTTTGTCGATTAGCGACGACGAAACGTTTGTTTAGTGCGGCCGGTAGCCAAACGCTACCAGTATGCACTTTGCATACACCTTTTCGACAACCTTTCCTTACGCTGGTGTCATTAAACGACAATGACAAAACGTTGGCTTCGTGCAACCAAGCCACACACAAAACGTCCTACAGACACCACCGTACCTAATTCTGGTGAGGGCGTACAGCAGGTAGGCAGCGGTGTTTCCCCTGTCATCCAACATCTGGGAAAGAAAAAAAGCGGCATGTGCCACTAAGCCTGGAGGACTGATACGGAGGCAGATAAAGCAAAACGAACAAATTAGCGAATCCACGTCAAATTCTGCAACCAATCTGCCACTCACCCTGTCGAAAGAGAAGACATACTCGTGCACCCGGTTGTGCGAGAGGTCGGCATACTTGATGCATCCATACGCTACGGCCTCCTGTGCCCTCTTGAGCTCTTCGGGCGTTAGTACCTTTAGAGGAATAAAAAGAAGTGTGTTGCAGCACTCTTGTCTCTTCGTGTTCACTCGAATCGAATGCACACATTGCAAGTGTGCTTTCCCATGCCATGTTGGGGAATAACTACACTCTGTTCACCCCTAAGCTAACAGTGCAGTGAAAGCTACGCATTCGCCAGGCCAATCAAGCGTCTCCCTTTCATCACCTGACCCTACTCTGCACGTGGGTGGGAGCGTGATCATGTGGCAAAAGATAGACGTGCGTAGCTTCCACTGTCCACTCAGCCTATTGGGTGAACGAAGTAAGTATGATCATAGCAGTTTGTGGAAAGAAAACTAGGGAATGAGGTGGCTTGTGGCTTGTTCTGAGCAAAGTGGAGTTACATTCGCGTCGGTAAAGTACCCGCTACAACCAAAGGTAGGATCGGCGTGCATTCACCCTCACTCTCCTCGTACGGCTAGAGGAGTCCATGTAACTTGCACACACACATCCAAGCTTCCAAAAGAAGTTTGTGTCCGCCTTTAAGTCGCTTCGGAAACCAGCGAACACAGCTGAGAGTGAGTTGGGCTGTGTATGGTCAGAAGCATAACTATTCGAGACATGGGGGGCCAATGGTGGTGGGGGCGGGGCGAGAGCGATTGTCCACCCCCTCTCTCGTATTGTTTACCATATTTTCCCAACTGTGGTCCACAGATGTGTTTCAGAGTTTAAATTTTACTTGATGCAGACTATCTACAGGTGCGGACTATACAAGGATTTGCTTTTTCTAGATTGTTCACTGTGACAGAATGTGAAGGATTTTATGAATAACGGAATATATCAATGTTGATTTATGTATGATGCAAGCTTCTTTGTGAGCTAGCAGAGCAGGCATCTGTCAAGCTGTGCAGTGTGTGACCATTTTTATGTTCGGACTAGGCACTAAGTGCGGGCTATCTAAGCAAAAACTTTTATTTTTGGCCCCTAATTTGCCCGAGGCTATTGGCGACGAGATGTTTTAGTGGCGCAACATCGTGGGCACGCTCCTGTGATGGAGCTGGTAGGATGCGAGCAGACGACGCACTATGTCAAAGCACAAAGTGGCTATGTTAGTACTCATCTATGCCGATTAAAAACGCTGTTTATAAAGGAAATGTGTATGATCTTTCTAATGAATAACAGTGCCTCGAAGTTGCTTTTTATATTAAAAACTTTAAAATGTTTGAAAACAAGCCTGGAGCTTCACATTATAGCTTGCGTGGTGTGCCTCAGGGCTATTCACAACCTCTCCGATCCTTGTTTGTTTGTTTGTTATTTTTATCTGTGGGGGCTGCTGTAGAAAAGGGATTTGCATTCACTAGAGTAAATTACATGCTTTCTTCTTATTTGTGCATGCACACACAGTTATGTTGCGAAACGCCTGCACACTTGTGTTAGCTACATTGAGCTTGCCGATACCAACGCTTCTGTCCAAATGTGACTCGACAGTTGCTGCAAATGCTCGTCAGCAACTGACGCTTAGCTTTTCCCGCATAATATGTGGCCTAGAAGTTTGTCACATTGCAACTTCTGTTTGAAAGAAAAGCAGAAATTTTCATAAATTCTTGAATTGTCGGACATGGCCCCGAAAATTCAAGCAATTGGTTAATTTGTTCTATCCAATTTTTACTAAGAATTGTTAACAAATTTAAAATTGCTCCCTGAGAAGCACATCACGCATTATGCTTGCTTGCGTGTGCAAAATTAAACATACAAACAGTAGTAGTTCATAGCACGTGTATGGTATACCTCATTTTTTGGGAAGCTGAAGTGCCACTGAGTTGCTAGGTTTAAGACTTCGATTGCGAGGGGGTCTCGCACGTTTCGCGTCGACCGGGCGAATACGTAGGGATTTAATTGAAACGACTCCGGAAGCCAGCCACCGCTTCCTCCTGCCAGTTATTTTGAGGAAACGTTTGCTTACTGGTTTACAAAACTCGGAAAGGAATCAACTTGGAACTAATAAGAGATTAGCACTCACAAAACACATTGGAGCCAACAGGATACACGGAATCGCTTTCACTGAAATGTTTACTACCCATGAGAGTGGTTCCCAAATTTCGCTTTCCTATTTTCAATTTGACAAGACATTCCTTTCTCAGTTTTATTTTGTCCGAATTATAAAAAAGAACACACCCTATTTGCCGCGGTAGGTGTTGTAGTGAGGTAAATACACCTTATTTGCCGTGGTAAAAGTGGAAGCTGGATGTTCTATTTTCATCATCCAGCTTATTGTACTAAGGTAGAGAGCAGCACACTACAATCCCAGTGCTTCGACACCTCAGTGCCAAAAGTGTTTGCTAGCACGACTATGCATGCCACGGTTCCAAACTTTGGTAAAATGCCCTACTACAAATATCACTTCACCAAACAAACACAATGCATGAAACAGGCTTTGCCGCGCGTTACCCAAACAGCGCATGAAGCGAGCCGACAAATCCGAGATGTGCGCGGTCTGTTCCAGTCTGTCCTACCCGTGACGTCACAAACGATGATGATAGTGATGATAGCTAGAGAAGCGCCCCCTGTAGTTTGCGCACGTCGCCAATAGTGCATAAAATATGGTACGTTTAATTTTTGAAATATCAAAGAGGGAGGGGGGGCACCTTCCCTTTCCCCCGTTTCGACGGCACTGTGTATGGTGCTCATAAACTTGCTTGGAGCAAAGTATTTCTAGAATATTTAGGCAAAATGTTGCCCCAGTGTCAGCATAGCAGGCACAAAAGTAGAACCAGTTTTCGATTTAAGAAAAGCTGCATAGCTATCTGAATTAAACTTGCTGTGTCCTACCTGTCAAGCTTCAGTCTATGTTTGCTGGAATCGAGGCACATTGGTGCTGCCTTAACTGCTCAACTTGTGGTTGCCAGAAACGCCTGTAAGCTCATATATTTCCAGCGTTCTTTTTCTTAACAAAGCAGCAAAAGTATTACAAACATACAAAGTCAATCAAATCGAAATAAAAAAGAGAAGACTGCTGCACCTTCTCGCGCTCCTTTTCGTGCAGCTTCTGCAAGCTCCGTCGCAGTCCTTCATCCAGCAGGTCGGTCAGCTTTACGGTGTCGCCAGACCGAGTCTTGAACTTTTTCCTGCAACCAGAGATGAAACTTCAAATGCCAGCCGTTTGCATGCAACTGAAACATTTACTATGAAACAGAGACTCTGACGTCCCATTCGCGCTCAATTCAGAGACCAAAAATTCGACCGCGTTTCGAAGAGCCGAGACAACTCAGAACGTCGAAAAGGCTGGAACGTCGCCGAACGCAACAGACCGATCTCACCAACCAGTTTGGCATGCCACCGCTGCCGCATTGCATCGAGGGAACTTTAGTTTTTCGGCAAGTGCGGCAACCTCGCTGGAGCACTGTGCGTGTACAGCACAAGACGTCACTCGAACCCTCTCGCGCACCTCCTCTGCCTCCTGGGAACTAAAGTTATGGCGGCGTCACGCATGCGCCCAACACTTAGTGAGGTCGGTCTATTGGTCGGTTGGTGGGGCAGCCGTCGTAGATTGCTAGTCAAAATTGCGAGACCCGCAATTTCGACGGTGCAATCCACATAAAGCGAAAATGAGAAAACCCGAAAATGCAATCGTTATAACTTATTATTGATTGTTTCTAGTCTAGAAACTCTATAAACTGATCGTTACAAGCGGTATATCGTTCTAAGTGGCATCGTTATAAGTCGATTGCACCGTACTCCGTTTCACAATAACTTGGCGAACTGTGGAGGCTGCGGCCCCCTGCGAACCAATAAGAGCGCCGCAGCGAAGCACGTCGTGACACTCCATGGTCAAGGCCGCGGGGGCCTCGTTACTGTCGCAACAACAGTGCTGTCCGCAACAAAAAGTAATTCTAGGCTTCTTTTTCTTTTAAAGGCAATTGAACTCGCGTGCTTCAATATCTAACCAGAAGATAAGAGGAGCAAAGAATAAATATTCACAAATTTACGAGTTTCAATTATATTTAAACCAAAAAAGTGACGTCGCATCCGTTTCCAGTCCCAATTTTTTTCACATTGTAGCACCGTGGCTGTTAGCAATTGCTGACGATTGCAACCGTGTAGTCGGCCGTTTCCGCTCAAAACATCGCACTGTGCCCTGGCATTAGCACCCGTCACAGATTCGTGGCTATATTGAGTGTATGGCTGTCTCACAAACTATTCCCGAAATCTTCGCTATTCTGGCGGACAGAAATGTTGCTGCGATGGACGTTCATCCAGAGTTGGTTGGTTTCGGAGCAAACGACTTTTGGTTAGCAGACGACAGCCAGTTCCCCCGCGCCTCGCCTTTGGCATAGTGACACAAATGCTCCCATGACGTCGAGTCACGTGCCTCGCTCTGGCGATCTTATTGGGTCGCAGGGCGCTAGCTTCCATAGTTCACCAAGTTATTGTGAAACGGAGTATAGTAGTGGCCTCTTCACTGGAGGAGAGTTTTCTGTATCGGGTCAAGCCGTGCTGGTGCAGTTACGTGACAATCTGCACTCTCCCAGTTGCGGGTTGTACAAGTTTAGTGCCTGTCTACGCATCTGCAACGTTTTTCCACACTTGGTCTCCGACACCTTTAGAAACGCACGACGTGGCAAATCCTGGGTACCTAAAAAACACTCGCAGCCAATGAGAGTGCAGTATTAGCCCGGGAAAATAGCGAAGAATGAACCGCAAAGCGAGAACATTATTAGCCACAGCCCACGTTTCTTAAGCCGTCGGCGGCTACATCGACTCTCCGAAGGGACGTCTCACAATCTACAAAAACGAGACTATTGAATAATCTACAGGGGCATGCCCGTCAACCGCATGGTACTCTCGCACCACGCACGCGATCGACGAGAACCCCTTAACGACAGCCGCACGGCGGCGCCCTCACTTGTCTTCGCCGAGAACCACTCCGAAGACGCAGTGATCCAGACGAACTTTGGAGGTGTCGACGTAGCCCGCTTTCTTGGCACAGGCGAAGATCGTGTTGAAGTGCTGAGCCTGCAAAAACGAAGGGGGGTTTTCTAAACCATGATTTGCCAAGAAACTGAGGGAGGAGGAGGAGACGAGACCGCACGGGGATGTCAAAACGCCGAGCTCTGTTCGGATCTCCTCTGCGTTCGTTGAACATGTTTGATCGCCAGCGTCCGGCGTTTGGCTTTCGCGTTCGAACGAGTTCGACACAGTAACCTAATACCACTGGGGGATGCGTTCGAGGCGCCATAGTATCGATGTTGGTTCATTCAAAGTGGGCTAGTATGTATTTAGTAGTAGTATGTAAGCCTTGCTCGACGTCCGATGGTTACCCCTGCTAGTGCTCCTCTAAAACGGGAGTTCACAGGCGCCCATTGGCTCTCACCTGACCGGCGTCGGTGACGTAGACGATCCAGTCCGCCCTCTCCTGCTGCACTCGGTGCCTGATGGTGGCCATGTCGGACGTGTCGTAGGTGAAGCCCCCGTCGCTCTTCACCACCGTGAGCGGGACGGGCTGGCCCGGCCCAAACATCACCTTGCGCCCGTCGTCCTCCTCCAGGAAACCTGCGGAGGCGCGGTGACCGGGCGGTCGACGTTTACCGCAGACAACCTCTAAAATTTGGTTTGCGCACTTGCTACTGCTTGAAACAGAGTGAGTCAAAATCTATTATCATCTCTTGCAGGGAGAGCACACTGGTGTAATCTAGGAGGTAGCTGTGGAATACTGCAAATTTCCGTGTATTTGCCTTTTTTTTTTTTTGTCACTTTATTCTTGTTATTTCAAAAATTACTTTTCACAATGTTATAAAGGACCATTTCTTATAGATAGCATGTCATTTGGTCTTGCAAATACTACAAAACCTTCGCTCTAGTTAATCACGGTTCATTAATTATAGTTAATTATAGATCACGAGAACCCTTTCCTAAGCAAGTGGAAGTGCGCGAGCGGGCCTTGAGACTCGCAGGACGTCGGAACGATGCTGAAAGGTAAACGCTGGAACCCCGGAACGTGCGAACGGAGGGGGAATCTCTCTGTCACCACAAATCCGCAGCGCTGATTTTTTTTTTTTTTTTTACGATGTTATGGATTTTTAATACAAATTTTTCTGCAATTTCTGTCGCCTAGTGCATTTCGTACCCACTCTGCAGGAATGAAATGTCTCCCAGGCGAAAATCAGTCCACTTCCAGCTGGATTATGGAACTGGAAATGAGGCAGTCCAGCTGGATCCCAGCTGGACCCAGCTGGAATCCAGCTCTGGACTGCCTCATTTCCAGTTCCATAATCCAGCTGGAAGTGGACTGATTTTTGTCTGGCTCTCTCAGTCCAGCTCACTCGCATCCTTGCTCCAAGTTAAAAGAAGAAAGCTCACAACAAAAAAGATGTCAAACATAAAAAAAGTGCAACCTTTTTTTTTTCTTTTTTGATTTTTCAACTTCTCAACCTATTCACCGACTTATTATTTGCAGTTGGGTGCATTTCTCCTTTTCAGCGGCAAATTATTTACCTGTGTCGCTCACTCCACGCCACAGATGCCTTATCGGACCCAAACTAGCCAACTGGCTATGGGTCCCCCTGCTTTTTCAGTAACATGGAAACACGCCTTCCCGCTAATCAAACAAATGAATTGAACTGAATATATATATAGTGGAGTCAAAGGCATGAGTCAGTTTCTATTGCCCAGGCAATCTATATTATTTTCCGTTTCATTTTGCGGCAGGAAGCAAAGCACACCAATGAAAGAGCAGGCAGTTAGCAAGGTCTCGAACCAAGCACCAGAAAGCAGAGTAAGAAGAAAAACTTTTTGAAAGCCCTCGTTTCCCCGCAGCCATACCCCGTTCGTCGAGGTCCTTCACGACTTCGGTCATCATGTCCTGGTAGAAAGACTCTCCCCTCTCGATCAAACTGACGTCCAGCCGCTCGTAGAGCTTCTGAAACTCTGCAACGAGTCAAAAGGAAACAGCCGCCACTGGTCACACTGTGCCCGTTTTGTCCTGTCTGCCATCCGTGCAAAATGTGACGACTGAAAGATGCCACCATCCAGTGGACAGAAGTCTAGTGCATAGGCTCTCAAACTGGATTCCTAGGGACCCAGAGGCTTCCGAGAGTTCTCTCATGTGCTCCCCAAGCTCCCAGATTTCCCCGACTGTCCCTGCTGCTAAGTGAGGCCTTTTCCCAGTTCGAGCAACTACTATAGCTGATCTGAGTCGTCCTTTGATGCATAGCTACAAGACAAAGTCTCTCCAGTCTGTGCCTTATCATTTACAAGGTTTGTAAACTTCTGCACCGTATAATTGCATCATTGCCGAGATCGGTAGGGATTCCTCGGCTTTCAGTCGAGCCAGACTGGGTTCTGCAAGATGCAAAAGTTTGAGAACTTCTCGTCTAGTATCTATAGGGGGTATTCACTGGACGCCATATTTGAGGGCGATGTTTAGAGCACATGCTCAAAATGAGCCCACATTAATAGGCTGCTAAGACCGGCAATCTTGATGGTGTGGAATGCGTGTTGCAAAAGAAAAGCTCGCAGCCAGCATGTGCTCGGCAGTCACGCACACAGCTATGGCCGCCAGTGAATACTCCCCATATATTGCAATGGACGGGGAGACCGCCTGTGAACCTGGTGAGAGGGTTCACTCTACCCAAGTGTCTGTAGTAACAGAATCTGCCACAAAGAGAGCTGACTCGGTGGCAAAGGTGAGGGAACCAACCAAACTTGTCAAACGCATATGTTTTGATCTACATGTGTGCCGAGCACCCCCCATAAAGGCTGCACCAGGCTGCTCATTGTGGACATGCACCTGATGTTTCTCTCAACAGCATGCAGTATGAGCTGGTGGCATTAGCCAATGTTTACTGAACCAACTAAGGACAGGCGCAGCAAGAACACTTGGTCGTCTGGTTCGGTGTTTCTGGCTTCCTCGAGATGTATGTATGGACGACACCAAAATCATTTTTGCATCACACTGCATCGTTGTTCATTAACACTCTGCAACAAGCTGTTGGTAGGCGAGTGGCCTTTGCAGCACGACCGATACCGAGTCCCAGCTGGCGCCACCACGCAACGGTCGCAAGCGCTTTTTGGTCCCTCTTTTTTGCGTTTCACACACTCCAAGTTGACAGGCACACAGTAAGCAATGCCATATGAGGGCTCTGGCCCAATATTACTATAGTCCGTTGCAACCTAAGAACGAAGGGCGAGGGTAAGACGGGCCGGGGAGGAGGAAGCAGGCGGAACGCTGGAGAAGAGAGGGGGAAACCTCCTTCTCTCTTTAGCATTCCGTCTGCTTCCTCCTCCCCGGCCCGTCTTACCCTCGCCCTTCGTTCTTGGGTTGCAACGGACTATAGATCTTTTGGAAAGGCGAGCAGTCTGCCCTGGTGCCCCGTAAGGAAACTGTCGAGGCCCGTTATAGCCGCCGGGATGAAGAACGTAAAGGCCCACACCTTGCCTAGAAACATCGCAGATGAGCTTCCAAGCAGACATCATGTCCGGGTCGTGGGACTGCAGCTTCACCACGCAGGCGTAGGCACGCTTCTTGAACTCTTCGTCCGAGTCGAAGCGCACTTTAGACTCCTGATGCACAAAAAAAGAAAAGGAAAAAAAAAAAGGCACATGTGAAATTTAATTATGTTCGGCACTTGTCCCGACGCAACCGTAAAAGGGCTCCGGAAATAATACGAAAACGGCGTTTAAGAACGGCATTTCTTTACTTTTCTCAACATTCCACGTGCCACTCGAGACGTTCCTTAGTCTACGAAGAATCGTTCGTTCACTGAACCCAGAACATAGAAACCGAAACCTCCGCCGACAATCCGAGAGAAAGAGAGGGCATGACACCGATCGCACTTGACGCAGCAAGCCCGAGAAATGAACCTGTGCACGATTTTGCTTCCCTTCTCTCCCACTCGGCGTATCCGACAAGCTCGATTCCTCAACTATTCAGCCAATTTGCGGGAGATAAGGAACCGTCCATTGAAATCGGAACTTGTCCAATATTGGCCGAGATACCTCCCTACCCATTATGTTAGGACAGCACTTCAAAATTTGCCTTGGTGTCTCCTTCAAGGCCTGCAGGTCTTCTCCAATATGGCACCTGATATCAAGCATGCCTTCTGCAATGCAGTGCATTATACGAGGCCTTTGTCGGAATTCACCTTGGCATGTCCTTAAAGGCCCGAAGGACTTCAACAATATGGCACGGATGTTGAAGGTCGGCCTGTCTTCTTCAATGTGTCACCATGTAAAGACTTTTGACACAATTCAATCTGGCATCTCCTTGAAGGCCTGCAGGCTTTCTGCCAGATGGCACCTTATACAAGGTCTGCGTGACTTTTACAAAAAAGTATTTTGCCGAGGGTCTTTAGCGGAATCTGCTTAGGTGTCTCTTTCGAGGTTTGACAGCAAAGCACAGAGATGGGCAGCACCTGCCTTCTGCAATGTGGTGCATTATAGAAGGCCTTCGTCGGAATTCAACTTGGCATGTCCTTAAAGGCCCGAAGGATTTCAACAGTATGGCACCTCGTTGAAAATGTACATGCCTTCTCCAATGTGTCACCTTGCCAAGGCTTTTGACACAATTCGATCTGGCATCTCCTTAAAGGGCTGCAGGCTTTCTGCCAAATGGCACCTCATACAAGGTCTGCATGCCTTCTAAAATAAAGTATTTTTCCGAGGGCCTTTAGCGGAATCTGCTTAGGCGTCTCTTTCGAGGTTTGACAGCGAAGCACAGAGACGGGCAGCACCTTGTAGAAGGCCTGCAGGTCTCCGATGGGCGGGGAGTGGACCAGGTAGTCCGGGAAACGGTCCTTCAGGTGAGCGATGAGCATCCCGAATTGGGTGCCCCAGTCGCCGACGTGGTTCAGTCGCAGCACGTCGTGGCCTACAAACTCCAGCAGCCTCGACAGGCTTTCCCCGATGATGGTCGACCTGAGGAAATATTAAAGGGAAACTGAATCAGTTGTGTATTTGAGGAAAAATCATGAGCCATTCCACTCTGTGGATGTTTAGCACACGACACAGACCAATCCCGAGGAGCCGGAGGAAACTAGACATGTGCAACGGGACATTACGCAGCAGCGTCGGCGATGCTCCGAAGCATGGGAAGTACGAAGCGCCAAAAACACTGCCATCGCCGACGGAGCGAGAACGGCAGTGTACGTCTTTCGGATATCCAGCCTCCAGCCCATGCTCCACACCATCCGCCATGCTTTGGCTGCATGTTGACGCTCAAGGCGCACAAGACGCTAACGCACTGACGAAGGTATGAAGCTCACGTTGGGGGCGGGACAACCAAAGCTCCTCTGTGCTGCTCTCACTTTGTCGGCGACCATGCAGAGCGCAAGTACGTCCACTTCTTTAGCGGGGTTTGCGGTGACGTCGGAATGCCGAGCTCAGATTGGCTCGGACCGAAGGATAGGAGGTAGCCCTCGTGGTAGCTTGCTTCGAAATCTACCCACTATCTTTCAATCGGAGCAGGTTGGAGCTCGGTGTTCCAACGTCGCCGCAACCCTTGCAAAGGAAGCGGGCAAACTTGCGCTTCGCATAGTCCAAGGCACCGCACCGGAGCAGCGACGTGCGGTCAAACGACGGACACACCTGAGGTGCCCCACGTGCATCTCCTTGGCGATGTTGGGCGAGGACAGGTCGACGATGACCCGCTTCTTGGGGCCAGCCTGCGGAGGGGGCAGTACCCCGTCCGTCAAGATGCGGCGGGCAGACGCCGCCACGTAGCTGCCACTCAGGGTGACGTTGATGAACCCCGGGCCGGCCAGGGACATCTCGGCCACAACATCGTTGGCCGGGACTTCAGCCACGATGCGCTTTGCAACCTCCACGGGCGACATCGGCTTGCCAGCCTTCTTCAGCGCCTATGGTTGGTAGAGAAGTTGAGCTGGCGACGAATGACTAAATGTTGCCATCGCTCTAAGTTTGATTGGATGTTTCTGTGCGGGATATGTACAGGGCCAAAGAATCACAAAAGAAGGAAGTGTGACGCAAAAGCAAAACACACAGTTTCCCCGCTAAATTGGGCGGAAAAACCCGAATCGTCATAGAATTATGCGGCAATTAAGTTTTTCCACTAAATTCAGCGGGGAGCACTCTCTGCCAAAGCTTGGGATTGTACAATAAAAGAAGAGAAAAATATGTACAGTGGATGCCTCAATAATACGGACATCTCCGCCCACCCCTGAAATTGTCCGCAACGCAAGTTCTACGTAATGATGACAAAAATGCATGTGTTCACGAACTTTGTCCCCGAATTAACAAAACGTGAAAGCAACAAGCATTAAAAAAAAAATTCCACTTTACATTTTGTACACTTCAGCTTCACCATAGAAACAAGGCACCCTAAAAGTTCTGTTCTTTTTTTCTTTTTTTTAAGGGATGGGAAAGATGTGTGGAAGTGTTCATAAAACTCCAGTCCTATGACAAAAAAAAAAGAGTCAGTTTTTTAAACTTTGTTCCCGACTGCCCGAACAGCGTTCGAACCGAAAGTAGCCAAACGCCTGAAATACGGCTCGTTCAGAAGCCGCGCTTCGATGCACGAAATGTGGCACAATCCAAGACCTATGTGCCGTCTGCACAGACAAGTTCAGGAAGACACCGAGAGTGCAGAAAAGCTGGCGGAGATCCGACATCTCGAGCCCAAGACCGTGGTTTGGGGCACAGACACGGTGTCATGCTTGTGATTTCAAACAATTTTTTCTCCGCTACCTGAGAGAGGGGCATGGCCGCGTTGCACTGGTAGTCGCCGAACTTCTCGTTGCTGCTCGGCAGGACGGGAACAAGAGGGTCCTCGACATCGGGAAAGGCGGCGCGGACCGCCTGCCGGAACAACTTCAGCAGGACATCCCTCGGACTTTCCATGAACCTCTTGCTCTTGGACTCTTCCTCCTCGACGCTCTGCAAGAGCGCCAGCGGTCGCACGCAGTTATGCCATCTGTTTGCAGTTGTAGACGTCGGCGATGCACCTCAAAACATTGAGGGGACGCCAGAATAATTATATGCCCCTTTCAGAAGTCGCGCGGCGATTCTTTGAAGGACTGAACCCCCGATCGATGGTGGAATAACCGACACCACAGAACATGCATGTGTACATAAGATGGTGATGATGTGAAATTAGTAATGTTTTTGTAATTCAACCTTGGCAGCATCTCTTGTAGCCACTTTGTGCAGGGATTCCCCAGCTTCCGACCGAGAGCGCACTTTTGAAAGGGATACAGTGGAGCTAGTTATTATGGTTGCAACCATTAGCGCGGGTGTCCCGGACAACAGGGTGCATGTTGTAATTGAAGCGAATGATAACTTCTACCTTGCTCCATGAGATGATTGAGCAAAACATGAATCAATCGGCTAATTAATCATGGGCACGACCTTGCACGGTAGCAGCAGTCATTTTTATTTGCTTTCACTATCCTTTTTTTTTTTTTTATATGAGACGGTGAGGGTGCAAGGTGAGGGCTGGCAAGCAGTAGTGAAAAGTACAAGGTATATGATGGATGTTAACTAGAAAATCTATAGTCTGCTGCTACTGATGGGATATGGACGCTGCCCTTCTATTAAAAAATCTTTAAAAAGATTGCTTCTAATAATAAAATCAAACAGCATATTCGGCTGAAACTTTCTATATTCTGGAATCCCCGATCAGACCTTCGCATAAAGTTTGATTGCTTACAATGTGCGATTCATTTATGTGAAGCAGAAAAGCTTCTCAATGGTTACTTTGGCAGAAGATCTTGTAGTGCTAATGGCAATAGTAGTGGTACATGCAGTAGCACGAGCACCAGTAGTAATAGTAATCATATTAGAGGTAGGAGTAACGGTAACTACAGTAATAGTCATTGTAGAAACAAGTGAGCTATGTTGAGTAGTTGAATGGCATACAACTTAACAAGGAGAGGAAAAAGTTAAAGGCGGAGACAGAAAAGCACAGGGAGATCTCTGCCCTTCGACATTTCTCCTTTCTAGTTTAGAAGCAGTAGTAATAGTAGCAGTTTAGTGGTCGCAGCAGTAGTAGTAAGAGATGGAACCGGCTTTTAATAACAGCAGTCCGGTTCTTCAGTGCTTACCCGCTTGAGGATTTCCAGCCTGTATTTGAGCTTGGCATTTTCCGTTTGCAAAGCCACCAGTTCGGGCGGAGGAGCGAAGTTCTCGGGGGGTCCGCTATTTTCTTGCAACTTCTTCAGCTCGAGCGCGAGGGCTTGAGCTTCGGCCTCCTGAGAAACGCACGAGAACGTAAACGGCGACGTGAGTGACACTGCCGTAATCTGCGTTCAATTAGGTTACAGCGCTCCCATAGTTTTCAGCTGGCCGCTGCTATAATTTGATCAACTTGATCGCGTAGGCAAACAAAACAAAAACAAACAAGAATACGTCACCGCAAATACTGCTTTGATAGCGGTCTGCCTACGCTGACACAGCCGGCGAAGTTGTTGACGGCATACAAAACGGATGGCGGCATTCGTGTTATGGCGTAGTTTGATAGGGAAGTTAGTGCAGCACGATTTACAGTGAAACTCGTGCCTGTTAATTGCGAACGTCAATAAACTCACAGCTTTTTCCACGTGCAGAGTGTATTTCTCCAACTCGGCGGCGTCCATCTTGAACAAAAAAGAGACAATTGTTGGGGGACTCCCTGGTGGGAAATAACGACGCTACACACGTCGCTTATATTTAGATTATTCGATTATGGCGGTTCATGGTTATTATATTTTTGTAAAATTTTTTAAAACGTTAAAAATTGTTGTTTAAAAGAATTTTATTTAGTTATATTTTCACTGTAATAATTCATTCTGTAATTAGATCTGGTGAAGCTGTTGATGATGATACTGGCCTCGATTTCCGGGGACCGTCGGGGACCGTCACATAACCGCTTTTAAACGTAAACATGGGCCGGCCTCTCAAACTTGTGAGTATCCGTTCAATTAAATTACTACTGGGAATCAAAACGGAGATTTTTTACCCCACAATGCATCCCCACCGCCCACCGCCCCTGCCCGTTTCGATCTGGATGAGTTTCGTCCCGGCACGCGTTCGTGTAACCACTATGCGTGATGCACGTTAAAAACCCCAGCGGTTGTAAATTTCTCATCTTCAGCTAAGAGACCGGTCACCCGTTGAGGCGTACCAACATGAAGGCTGTATAAACATAAAACCAAAACATTTCGCAGTGTGCCAGTAAAAAAAAAAAAAAATATGTCAAACCTTTGCGAAACGTGCTTTTAGTTCATGTTCGGCCATCAATGGTCCCTTGAAGCTCTTCAAGGAAAAATACACGGCATAGCTCATAAGATAGCACGCTTTATTGGCATTCAATCCTAAAAATGTATTAAAAGTATTCTCTTTTTTTTTTTTTTTTTTTTTTTTTTTTTTTTTGCAATTTGTAGCGCGTTTTAGTTTCGTGCAGCCGCTTCCCTGCATAGCAAGCCGCCGCTCGCGCTGTCTTGGGGTGGGACGGGTGCGAGCTCTGATCTACGTCCCAATGCGCATTTCGTCGGTGTTTTGGGCAGAAAGGGGTACCGGCGGCCTAACGCGCGTGCGATAACAGCGGACCGGACCTTGTGACTTGCCAATCATGCGATGCTGCTTCAACTAAGTCCCGCCTTTCTACCAAAAATTAGCCCGGAAATATTTGAAGGCGAGTGCAGTGGATGGCGTTTTCAGCTTGCAAGATTGAGACCCAAAGAAACCATCTTTTCCAGAGTCGTCCTAAATCGCATCGCTTTTGATGCAGTAAAAAAGCAATTCTGCTACTCACCTTCTCCTGAATCTGAGGATGCAAAACGACTTCCTTCCACGGAACGTGGCGCTTTATCCATGCTTGGAGAATCGCAGGTTGTGGCGTATGTTGTAGCTCGGAGTTTGAAATCAAGAAAAAAGAACAAACATCAAGACACAAGAGCCAGGTATGTCACTTGATACCGCGCTGCGTGAGAAAGCGAACGAGGAACTCGACGCACCCACACGGTGCGAGCGGAGATCACAAGCTGGGCAGGAACCAGGGAAGTTTAGATGGAAAGAGCGCTACGTCGAAGACGTGACGGGATCGTCGGACAGAAAGAGAACTCAACGAAAGGCGCCGCGCCCCGTGCATCTCCGTTGCCCGCTGCCAGGTTCTTTCCTCCCGATGTCTCCGGTTACATCCGCCGTTTTTTGGCTCAATGCGGGGCGCAAGTATCGTCTGCTACTCCTGCGGGGGTTGTGGTGACGTCAGAAAGGCGCCGAGCTCTGATTAGCTCTGATTGAAGGATAGTGGGTAGACCTCAAAGCTAGCTGCCTTGAGGTCTCCCCACTATCCTTCAAGCAGAGCCAATCAGAGATCGGCGTTCTGACGTTACCGCAACCCCCACAGAAGTAGCAGACAATATTTGCGTTCCGCATAGGTTGTGTTCGCTCTACGTGGCGAACATGCAAATATGTGCGTGTTCGGTATGCAGTGTATTATATAATACACTGCACACCCTCTCTCGCCTTTTTCCATGACTGTCCTGGATTGCAGGGAGTGCTTTTAAGCTCATTCATGTTGTTGCTAGTTGAAAGAAATGTTTGTCACCCTTCGTCCCGAGTTTGTGTTTTTTTTTTTTTTTTTTTTATAAGAACAAACACAAATCTCCAAACACAGCTAGGTGACCGGTGCGCTACCGAAAAAATCCGCCTAGTCCGGGTATCGAACCCGGGACCTCTCCATTACAGGTGGAGCGCTCTACCAACTGAGCTAACCAAAGGTTAGACGTTAGTGGAGCAAACGGGTTTTATCAGCTGCCACCAGTCTAACACCAACCGGACCAGGCAGATTTTTTCGGTCGCACACCGGTCACCTGGCTGTGTTTGGAGATTTGTGTTTGTTCTTTGTACCTCTTGTGCCCCTTCTCCAGGGATTATTTTCGTCATTCTTGTCCAGCTCGCTTGCAATTTAATTGCATAATAATCAGTCAATAACTCTTCTCCCTGTTTCTTGAAGCATGGGTTGTAGATTTAGAGTAATAAAAAAATTTTTGTTGGGTTAAAACTTGGGTCTTAAACGACTTCAACGATAACAGCAGCGTACGCAAACGAAGCCGCCTTAGCTCGTGGTAAACGGCAGAATTACCTCTCCAAACTGCCGTCAGTTTGCACAGTTTGGTAGCACCTGAAGAAAGGTGCAGCATAGACCGCTCCATCTCCCTGTTTACGGCACCTCGTTAAAGCACCATCACATGATTGGCAAGTCACAAGGTCAGGTCCGCTGTTATCACACACGTTAGGCCGCCGGTACCCCTTTTTGCCGAAAACACCGACGAAATGCGCATTGGGACGTAGATCAGCTCAGCAGCGCGAGCGGCGGCTTGTTATTCAAGGAAAAGGTTGCGCAGAACGACTGAGACGCACTACAACTTACCGAATTCAAAAAATGTTTCCTCCCATTAATTTTGCAGAATTGAATGCCAGTAAAGCGTGCTATCATATTTTTCCTTGGACTGCTTCAAGGCACCATTGATGGCCGAACACGAGCTAAAAGCACATTTTTGCAGAGATTTGATATTTTTTTATTGGCACACCGAAAAATGTTTCGTCATCAAACATTTTTTTCTTCAGTAGTATAGGTCGGCGACTGTGCGTAAATAATTCTAGAATGGCCCAAATGGTGTCACTGTTTTTTTACCAAAAATTGTAAATCATCCAATTTTTGTATCTTTTATGCAAATGATAAAAAAAAAAAAAAAAAAACATTTATATACGTAGTCGAAGTAACTATATAATATCGCCCAACCATTCTAGAATCAAAGAAACAAAAAACGGTGAAAATCTAAGGAGATCCTAATTTCTTGTGATTTTTGTTGTGCTACTGATTTTTACACGCAACTGCCCAAATAAAGTTGCGCTCATGTTGGCAAAAAAAAATTTTTCCGAAAATGCTCGGCAAGTGACTATTCAGGATAAAAGTAACACCAAAGAAGTTTTTCGAATTGATCTGAGATTGTCGAGCACACACCTTGTTACGTTTGAGATGGAATGACCATATATATAGTACTTTTTTTTAAATTTATTACTGACGCGATTCTAAACCCGTCAAAATGTGCCTGTTCCTCGACTTCACATGTTCGCGTTTGTTTTGTTTAAATTGCTTGCTTTTCGTGTTTGTTTCTCGCAGATAAAATCACCTGAAGACAACGAAAAATGCCGGACATATCTTCTCGACGATCAGGACCATACCCTAGGGAATTCTCTTCGCTACATGATAATGAAAAAGTAAGTTCGCGACTGATACCCAAATCGAAGTTTGTTATTTAGAGTTATTGAAGTTCGTTGTATCGAAGTTTGTTGTTTGGATATATCGAAGTTCCTAATTCGGAGGCACAGTTTAATGAAGACATCTTCCTGAATTTCAGCCCTCAAGTAAAGTTCTGTGGCTACGCGATACCACATCCATCAGAGCGAAAAGTTCATCTTCGGATTGAAACACGGGGTAAGTTGTTCATTGTTTTTGTTTCCACACTACATTTTAGACTTGGGCATTCGTATGTCGACAAACAGGTTACATTGGGGCTGGTTTGATGAGTGGCAGGTTATGCAGTACGGCGCTGAACTGTTCAAAGAAAATATACCAAGTAATTCTGTCATAAAAATAATAACTCAAGAAGGAGAGTCCATATATCGAGCCTAAAATGCAATATTCGAAACACTCTAATAGTGGACTGGTTAAAGCAAGCATGATCTAATTATGAATACTTAAATTAGAAAAAATAAGAACAGGAAAGGATTATCACGTCCTCCTTGTTCTTTCCATTTAATGTACTGTAATAGGGCCACCATCTGTGGTTCGTTGACTTACCAAGATTTCATTGTTGTAATTGTATACACTGTTCAGTGAGGTTTCACCTTTCTATGTATTTGTCAGATATTACGGCGGATGAGGCCCTAAAGAAAGGACTACAAGACCTTCACCAGATGAGTGAACACATCCTGAAAGTATTTGAGGTAAGTGTTTGTCATTAGGACCTACCAGGAATCGACTGGCTTGCCCACCGAGGTTAGTAAGAAAAAAAGATAGAGTTCCTTCCCTTTCTTGTTTGCAGAGGTATAGAGGGAACGATTTGCTGCCCCTCAAGATTTTTGCCAGTTGTCCTTAAAGGTGGAAGATCAGAATTCAGAGTGAGGCTGCTGATTTATAACTACTAAGCTTCTCTATCAGGAAACTAAAACCCTAGAATTCTTCACTTTAAAAAAAAAAAAATGTCTTTTTTTTTTTTTTTTACAAGTTGCAAGGTAGATACAGTTTATTTGAGTTATATTGATCCCAGTCGCTTCTCTAAGACTGAAAGACAATGACCTCCCGGCTTCAAACGTTCCGCATTTAAATTTACCTCACGAATATTTGCAGACGTTTGGAGGGGTAATTTTGCAATATGAAAAGCGGAAACTTTTAATTCAGATGTGGTTGTATTACAAACCAACCTCACATGGCAATTTTAACTCCAAATAATTTACGTGACTACTGTCCCTTGGCATATTTCCAGAGGAAATACTATAATGAGTGTTTTGAAGTTATTCACACTTTCTTTTGAGCTTAGTTAATTAAAGGGGTACTGAAACGAAAATCAAAATGTACGGAAACCTTTCCTTAATGGGTGAAATATGACCAATAATATCTGCAATTGACAATCGCACGTTCGTATTTTGGGCGGGCGGCTATATTTTTCGTTTCAAGCGTCTGACTCTAGCAAGCGCTTCGAAATTGGCCATCAAGGCTTGCTATGCGTCATGGGAACTTCGTTGCAATCGTGACGTCAGGCTGCTCGGCACAATCTCGCATTTTCGTATTCATTTCGGCCTTTGTAGTCCGCGGTGCGTTCCGCCGTGATCTATGAACTCGGGAGGACGAGGATTTTGATTACCTAGGGGACTCGGAAGACGTCAACAAGGACGGCTAGTCACTCTCGAACATGGTGACGGACAGGCGATTCGGGCTAGAACCGTACGAGCCATCCGACAAACCGACTGTCTGCCCGACAAAATCTGAAAGGGGTCGGGGTCACAGAGAAATGCCTCGCATTTAATATTGATTGGCCGGCTTGGAGGTATGCACTATTAGGTATTTTATTAACAGCGTTCTCACTTACCACTTTGCTTCACTTTTTGTGCGGTTCGCTGAGCTCTTCTGCTTTTCTTTTCTTGGAAAAAAGTAGTCGGCACAACCCCTGGTAGCAACCGAATATTGTTGATATCGCGAAAATGGTCACTGTAAAGGCAATTGGTTTTCGCTGGTGCCCGAGAGACGACGGATGTTTGAGACGGATCTTCACGCTTCGGAACTCCTCATCATTTCGAAACCCATGGGTTGGCTTCTCGCAGTTCAGCGCGCTGTTGCCGCAGCCCTCTGCCGTGCAATAGCACAGCATCCTCCACGTAAACATGATGAATAAACAAAGAAACATCTCGGCCCAACCAAAACATTCGCGCACCGTGCAAAGCAGCGCAATAGCATCATTACGCTCACGGCTAGAGTATCTATACGAGTATGGTGTACTGCTGAGGGTGGAGCCACTGCAGGAGCAGAAACATGTCACGATCCCCCAACAAAGCTTCGAGCCTCCAATAGACACTTTCCAAAATCCAGTCTGGACACTTTGATCACTATCATCATTATCATCTCAAAAATGGCATAGGTGCTGTAGTAATGGTGGCCTTCTGTTTACTGATGAAGGAGCATGTTGAAGATACTCCTAATCTGAGAATATGAGGCTTATACATTCGAGACGTTAGCATGTTGCGAAGCAGTAATCGAATGTAAGAGCTGCGTAAGTGTTCATTTCTATAACTCGGGCCCACTCAATCTGTTAGGAGCCCGGAATCCACTTGAAAGCCCCTTGATGTATAGAACTATATCAAGGCGTCTATCTGGGGTTGGCACTTCATTCTGACTGGTTGCATCTTTGTTGCCATCGACACTGAAATGGATGATCGAGAAAGAACTGTACAGTGAAGAGAATATTCTCATTTGCAGTTGACTTGCGAAAGTGATGGTGGCCGATAAAATACTGCAGGCTACAAATTTATTGCTGCCATTTGTACTTCAAAGGTTAAACTGCCATTTTAGCCACCTGATGGCACTGAATTTCGGAAAGGGTCTATTACCAAGTGCAAGTGGAAAATTGTTTTATTTGTCTTAAAATTACTTTTCTTGCGTTTACAAACGAGAGACTGATGTTGCTCAGGTGTTGCTGCGACGTGGTATACGCATAAGCAATAAAATGAGCCCTAAAATTTTTTTCCATGCTTCTTTAATGGAGGTTGCATAAGGTTATATAATAAAGTTTGGAAACATATCTATTTGTGTAACAGAAGAAGGTACTCTTTGTTTTATTGGTATCTATGTTAATTTATGAGTTTGTGCTCATGCCTCAAACCTGTGGTCAGTATTTGAGGGCAAATGAATATGTTCTGTAAAAGTGAAAGAAATATTAAGGGGCATGAATGCAAAGCTTTCTTCCATTTGGTGGTGATGTCCTTGAGCAGTGAGTGCTTGAAATGTTTTTGTCTCTATTTCAGAAAACCGTGGCGAAACACAAGGCCACAGTCTCGGAGGAAAAAATGGAGACGTGAAGATTACAACTCACTCGTAAAACCATGTAAAATAGGGGAGGTGGATATTTTCAGACTAAAGGGTTTCTTTCTAATCTGGAGGCTTGTCTTGTCAATTTTGCCCTTCAGAAAAAAAAAACTGCTATCATTCTTTTTTTTTTTTTTTTTTCTGAAACTATGGGTTGAATAGATCTCTTGTAAGCTGTGCAGTGCGGTCCGAGGTGCTGAAAAGAATGCTGGAAGCAGTCTGTACAAAACTGGCAGTAGCAGACGACAGAAGTGAGACTACGGACTACATCCTGCTGTCTTTCTTGCTCTCTTCAGTGTTGCGTGGCTCATAGGACCTTATGCACGGCCCTTTGGGATTTTCGCGAAGGGTATATATTCAATATTAGTTTGTAAGTAAAATCTTTTTTCTACATGGTACGAATTAACCAGTAACATAGTATACGAGGCGACAATCGTTCACATAACGCACGGGTGCACACATACCAAGGTGTCTAGAAGAGTGATTCACTTATACTGTAGTAGTGTTAATGAGGATATAATATGTTTCCCAAATCGATTTTCTTTTTTTTTTTTTTTTCAATTATCATATGGGCCATTGGAGAGAGTATCACGTAAAATAAACCATTCTCTTACCTTCAATGTGCAGCCCTGGTAAAGTTTTTTTGTTGTTTTAATATTTTTTATTGGTGGAAAATACGACACCAATGTGCATAGAGGAGAGGGGGTAGGAGTGGGACGGCGGGATGAGTGGGACAGTCAACGATTTCTTCAGTGAATAATTCCAGAAAGTTAAACTCTTAGATTTACGACACCGTGGTGGCTGTACTTTCAACTGTAATGGCGTATCTGCTCGGCGTGGTGTACATGAGTTGGTGGTTGCTGCTTCAGCACTCAAAAGTGACTAGCACACTTTAGTTTTGCTCGATACTTAAACCAGAATGCTTTGGCCACTGGCTGTAGTAAACTAACACCGAAAAGATGGGTTCATAGGTTGCTTTTAATTATCGCTTTTTTAAGCTTAACATCTCACCTGTTGCCACAATTGGCCACTTCTGTGTGCAGCACAGCTTGGGAAGAATGCGACAGCGTCTCAGTCCTCCCTCTATGAAGATTGGTGCTCTGACTGGTACATCAACACTAAGGTTAACCTGTAATAATGGTGAATCATTTAATTTTAGTTATATTGCATTGAGGCCACCAATTATTTCTTTTGTGCAAAATGTTACAGCACTCTTAATCCCCAGTTCAAAACCACAAACAATCAAAGAAAAAAAGACGACTGAAATTGGGCTTCATGTTTGGTGAAGAACCGTCTGCTTATAATATTCACTAGTACAGTTTTAGTGCAATCTTGCGTGTGTCCCATTCCTCCCTGGGGGGAGGGTAGAATAAAACACATTTTGGTTCTTGCAATTTCTTTTTTTTTTATATATATATACATTTTTAGAAGAGTTGAGACAAAAGGGCTGTTCAGCTGATGTGAAGTGTCTTCCACGCTACGTTTAGGACCATTAAACTGGTTTGTATTTACCCATTGAACTACACAAAGAAAAAATTACCAAAACTGCCCCATACCCCCCAGCCTTTTCACGTCAACGTTGAAGGGGGTTTATTAGATTTATTGGGAGTGTTTGACTGACCAAAGTCAGAGGAGTCTGATGACGCTCCCGTGCCCCGTTTTACAAAATCAAAGGTTTCCAAAATCAAAACGTAGCGACGCCTGAACTAACAGTTCATCCGTCGCTACTTTATTATACATGGGTTGCGCGTGACATCATCTAAAGAGTGCTCCCATGACCACCAGGGACGAGGGCAAGATGGAGCTCTCCTCTTAGCAGGACCCTTTTGTGCCTCCCGGATTTGCACAGGCGTCGCTATTCTCCTCCCAGAAGATTAACCCGTCACCCAAATTCTTACAAAAGGAGCTTCCCTCTCCTCTTGCAGGGTGGTCAAAAGTATGCGATGTGACGTCGGTGCAACCCATGTATTGTATTTTCGAGTATACATGGACACAGTATTCTGAAGTTTCGGAATATTTCCCTTTTATTCGTCATGGTCCGCTCGGGGTGTTGTCTCGGGCGGGTTAATTAGTTTGGTTGAGTTCGCTGGCTCAACCGCGCACTGGAGCATCGCTTAGAAGCTACGCCCGAAGAACTGCGACATACGCAATTCTGCGTATGTCGCTTCGCCGCAGCGCAGCTATGTGTTAGGGGAAGAGCACTCCTCGCGCGTCAAGTAGTTAAAACAAAAGAGTTCGAAATTAAGCTTTGTGAAAGCTGATGTCACATTATCTACCGCGGTTAGTTGATATATATAATAAACTACGACATTCTAAGAAGCTGCGCGCATCATTGGCCTTTTTACTTTATTCTGTACGTTTGAAGTTTAAGGAAGATTACTTTGAACTTTGCTATCGGGAAAGTTTTGATTATCACGTTGATTGGATTTAACTGGCCTGCAATATACGTTTTCTTTTGTTATCATTATTTTTATGTGTAGTTATATATACCCCATACTGTTCAGGGGCGCAGTCAATAAAGTTTTGGTTGAAGCTTTGTTGATTGTAGCCACGATATGAGAGCTTGTAATAATAAAGTATTCTCCTGCTAAACTTTCCCTCTCCCACTTCTCCCGCCTTGGCGCGTGCAGCGGTGAAACCAGGACCCGGCACGCACGCAAGCATTCGTCCAGCGATCACGCCTGGCTTCAGAAGCGAAAGACAACGACAAAAAGAAAGAAGACAAAACGAGTAGGAACACAACAGGGTAGGTGCTGCTGCTGTTGCGTGCTCGAAAGATTCCGCGCCGCTTTCTCTCCCTTTTTTTTCTTTTTATTGTGTCTGTTTAGTTCACCTGTCTGGCCGCCATTTTATTTTTCTCCCCCGGCCACGGTGGATCATTTTGCTTTCACACGATTGCCGTCTTTGAAAAACGATGTCTGTTCACGCCATTTGGAGACCTAGATGCACCCATGGTGGACGTCTAAACTTTGCTTTCACGAAAAGTTCTCCGGAAACAAGCTTATTTTCCTGATTTTTCCAAGTTTCGGTTCCGTTTCGGTACCGCTTCTCCTTTTAGGCCGCGCCCGAATGCTCCGGCAAAGCGGCGAAGCAGACGACCGCAAGAGGGGAACGCAGACGAGCGTTCGGCGAGGAGGGCTGCTTTTTGAAAGCAGACGCCGCCCCGAGCTTTGGAAGTGCCGTCAATTCTTGCTCTTGTGTTCGCCTTGTGCGCGTCGGTGTTCAAACAGAACAGTTCGGCCCTTGTAAGTGCTGTTTCGCCTTCCTGGCTTGTGCGAACCTACCCGCAATTCGTCTCGGATACACCCGGAACAACGTGAATGGAGGGGCAGGTGTGACAGAACTTCGGTTCAACAGGTATGTCTGAAAGCGTTATACAGCTACTTGGCGTTCGGTTTCTTAAACGCGCGCGCTTGTTGCATCTAACCGCCAAACGAACTAAAGTTGTGAAAGACGCATGAGAGCATCAAAACCAAGTTTTCAAACTATGTACCACTCATGCGCGCGAGCTTCGTGGTTGGTGATTTGTTCGGGTCAGTTCGGCTGTTCCTCCAACACACGCACTGTTAATAACTTCCAGTGTGTTCATGACTTAATGTGTCGTGCGGCTTCTGTAATAAAAATTTGAAATTAAAAGAAAAAAGAAAGGCAACAACACGCGCAAATGATTTTGTCACTTTAATACAAGCATTGTAATACACATGGCTTGTGGACATGATTCAAACGAGTTCCGCTACCCTTTCAATGAACATTAGCATGTGTGTTAGGTTATTGGCCGTTTTGTGGTCTTTTGGAGCGCATTATTTGCGTCAGTGCGAGAAACAGTTTTAACAGTTCAAGGTACAGGCAGCGCTGTATTAAAGGCGAGTCTGTTGCCGCTTCATTTCTCGAAAGCGCGAAATATGATAACATTTCTCCCGCGCCACTTGAGACGAAAATAAACTCTAGCATGACACGAGGAAGGATGCCAAGATAAGCTATGTAATGTTCACGAAAACGAGCTCTTAGGTACCCTGCAACGACAAAGGTCATCGAAGGTTTCAGCCATTATATGTAACTCCCAGAAATTTAGGTAAAAATGTATTTATTTAATTAATACAAAATTCGAAAGAGTTATAAGTTTATGATAGAAGAAATGGTTTGAAGTACATTATTCCTGTTCAAGCAATGAAAAAAAAAAAACGATAATATATATATATATATAACGGGCATGGTGGCGGGAGGCCGAAGGCGTGGGTATAAAACTGAGAAGAAAAAAACCCTTAGTGAAAAACAGCAACAACGGACGATTTAATCTTCGACGTTTCGGCCGGAGTCCGGCCTTCGTCCGGCCTTCCTGACGAAGGCCGGACTCCGGCCGAAACGTCGAAGATTAAATCGTCCGTTGTTGCTGTTTTTCACTAAGGGTTTTTTTCTTCTCAGTTTTATATATATATATATATATATATATATATATATATTTCTTTTTTTTTAATTATGAACTGTAATATGGGATACGTGTGTGTGTGTGTGGGGGGGGGAGAGGGGAGGAGTACATGTTTATCGCAGTCGCATATACTATATAAACCTAGATAAGTCATGAGTATCCGATCCACTGTTATATTTTGGAAACCGAGATTTAGCTAGAGATTTAGAGACTCCCATGACACCGGGCATTGTAATGTTATGATCGGCGGCCATAGCTCTTATTGGCTGATTGCAAAAGTAGCGGGTAGACCTCAAGGCATTTAGCGTATAGGTCTACCCACTATCCTTTCAATCAAGGCCACTCAGAGCTCGGCGTCGTTGTGACGTCACTGCAACTCCAGAGCAAGAAGCAGACGAACTTGCGCTCTGTACAGACATCCGTTTGTTGGACATAGGCTTCATCCACTATGCAGAGCAAATCCTTATAGACGCTGGTTTCATTTTAGCGAAGCAGACACTCGAGCGTACACTACGGCCACTGACAGCAACCAATTATTAATCGCTATTAATCCCAGTCACCGTATTAATCACCGATAAGAGCGTCGAAGAACGAATCGCAAAGTAGTAAAAAGCGTGGAACAAATATATGTAGGGTTCCGCGTTTTCGGTTTCTATTATTTCAGAATTCGGCGTACTTTTTTCGGTGTTCAATTTAAAATTCAATTTTCTGTTGTTGTTTTTTTTCGGTGTATATTTATGCCCAAAAAACTTTTTCGGCTTCTTTCGGTGAATTAAAATAAACACTAACGGACACCGGATCAGACGATCCTTGTAGCTTTGATACTTGTGATCACTCAAAGAATAACTGCACAGATACATTGAAAAAGAAATCGACACTTTATTTGGCAAAAGTGTGCAACTGTAAAAGAAACAACAAAAACATGGAACTTTGCCTTCTGTACATCGGGATTACGTGATCCTATTATAGTACACACACTTGTACTTTCCCAGGTTTTCTTCGTTGATCCGCACTTTTTCTTTTTTGTTAATATGACCCTGAGCTTCGAGAATGCCCTCTCAACGCTAACACTGGACACTGGCGGGCTGAGGAGATGAAGCGCTGCCTGAGCGAAAATCGGCCAATCGCCAGTTGTGACCGCTAAAAGAGACACGGTGCGACGTTTTGAAGCACAACACAACATGCAGAGCTTGCATCCAGTCACCCTTACAACGAGTTTGAAAACGTGCTCGTACATGACGAAGTCATGGGGCATTTCGGACTTCACGTTCCGACCATAACGTCATGATGGCATCCGTGTATCCCATACATTCGGACACGTTTCGGTCGTTCCACTTTTTCGCCACGGCTCTGCGGTACCACTGGAAGGTCTAAGTGACCTTTTCCGGTTAAAACTGAATTTTAGAAAATGAATTCGACGTACTTTTATCGTGTTTTCTTTTTTTTTTTTTTCTTTTTTTTTTTTTTTTTTTTGTTGAAGTCGAAAATGGTGAACCTAGAAACTGACTTTTTTCGGTTAAAACCGAATTTCCGAATATGGATTCGGCATACTTTTATCGGTTTTTATCGGTTTAAACCGAAAACTCCAAACCCTAGATATAAGCCACGCCTGTGCCTATTGGGATCTCATCTGTTGTAGCAACGTTCTGGAGATGAGCGTCGCCGTCGGGTTCTGATATAGCACAAAAAACTGCACAAAATATATATATATATATATTTAATCGGTTTTACGAGATGCGGTATATAGTTGAGTAAGACGTTAATTTTAATAGCTCACGCCTTTTCTTATTATTATTATTTTACTTACTTGAAACAAGGAAAAGTTTGAACGGGAGCCAACATCGAGCGCTTGCGAAATCTTTTTTTTTTTTTTTTTTCATTACACACTTGGTTTAGTTTTTTAGCTTCTTTTTTTTAATTTACGGTTGCGGACTTTGTCTCGTGTGTGTGCGCGTGTGCGTGCGTGTGCGTGTGTGAGAGAGAGAGAGAGAGAGAAATCGAAAAAAAGAGTGTACGTTTTTTTTGTTTTTTTGTTGTTTTTTTTTTGGGAGCGGTAGAGAAAAATGCTGTTCCGAGAAATGGCATGCGCTAAGTTTTTTTTATTTCCTTATACAGCTTAATTGCTATAAAAAATTTTCCTCTTTCAAACAAATACCTTCTCTTTTTTTTTTTTTTTTTTTTTTTTTTTGTTTTGCGAATGGTGTTGAACAGTACATCATTGAGGAACACGTGCAAGCGTGGTGGGAGTTCAAAGGCAGAACTCAACTCAAAAGAGACCCCTTACACACGCACGCACACACGCACAAACACATATTTGCTGATCAATACTAAAATCTGTATACTTGTACGTGTTATTTGTTTTTGATTTGTTGCTGCACACTTTTTGTTGGTGAAATTATTGATTAAATGATACAATTAAATGACTGTAAGCAGCGTATCGGTGTGTATTCTTCGGCACCTAGTTGTCACGAAACTATAGTAGCCATTCATGCAAAAACTCTATAAAATAGCAGAGTTCACATGATACAATAAATTAAAATGACCATCTTAATAAGCGTGGCGTATACGAACGTTAATGTGTACGTACCACCATAAAGGCTGCATACTACGTTTCGTTTTGTTTTGTCTTCTAAAAGAACAGTGTTTCATTTTCAGTTGCACGTTTCATTATACCAATACATAAAAATAATCCTTTGTTCTTTAGTCAAGGGCGATGAAAAAGGCACGTCAAAATAATTGCAATCCATTACGCTTCGGTTACGTGACCAAAATCATTCTAAAGAACGACGCAGACAAAACTCTGAAACAAGGTTGCAATTAGCAAACTAGACATACTGAAATGCCCTTTTCTCCAAGCATCACTACATTGCTGAAACTAACTACTTTTTTTTTATGTTCACGAGCTTAGCTGCACGCCCTAATTGGTACTGCTAGTTCCGTTGGGGTATTTTTTATTTTTTTTATTTCATCGTTTCGCACAATGGATTAGTTGGGTGACGTATTGTTTTGGCGGGGTTCCTTGTATATCAGTGTCTGCGCGAAAAAGAACCCGCGCGACGGATCGGTAATCAAGTACAAATTACGGTAAGCTCGTTAGCGAGCCTCATTCAATGGCTGGATTAATTAGTGAACGAACCAGCGGTGAAAAGTTTTACTTTGCCGTAACCGTTCTGTATGTTTTGGTTTGGTTTTGTTGCCGTGTTCATGTCTGCGTCGAACAACAAACGCGGTAACTCAAAAAAAAAAAAAAAAAAAAAAAGTTGCTGTTTGTTGGGTTTGAGTTGTAAAAATCATTAATTTATTGACTTGTGTATGCTTTATTTTATCTGCCCATGTGCAACCAGTAGGTCACCTTTCTTATGTGAGTTTCTCCAACTCCCTGGTTAGGAAAAAGAACAGGATCACCGTATGAAAGATCCAATTTGTCGTGTGGTTATGTTGTAATTACCAAGGTATAACTCGCATTATTTTATTTACAAAGATTTTGTTCGTGTGTTTTATGTTTTAAGTTTGTTTATTTATTGCTTCCCACTAACAACAACATGCCTTCCCGTTGGTGCATCACAACAAAGACGAAGAAACATGCGCACACACATCAAACACACTAACTTTATACACGCGAAATCCCAAATAAAATTGGTATACATGATTTTTTAATACTCACATGCTAAGTTTTTTTTTTTTTTTTTTTTTTTTTTTTTTTTATAGCTTAAAGGGCTTGAACGTGACAACTGAAGGTGACGAAATGCCATTATACAAAACTTCCATTCAGGTGACAGGCGAAAGCTGGGAACGCCCACCAACATAAAAGAGTTTCCATTGACCTCAAAAAGCGAGCGGACAAACAAAAGCTTACGATAGATAATGAACTTGAGCATGTCACTTTGCCGGTTAAAGGTTTGTGCAAAAGTTACTAATCCCGAAGATCTCT